TAATAACAAAGAAAAAAAAATGAGACTTATTGTTAAATGTTATTCTTATTTATGCTTATTCTGCATTTAGTTGATCAAAAATAAAGTAAAAATAGTAATATTCTTAAATGTTGTAATAACAAAAGAAATAATAAATGAGACTTATTGTTAAATGTTATTCTTATTTATGCTTATTCTGCATTTAGTTGATCAAAAATAAAGTAAAAATAGTATTGTTAAATGTTGTAATAACATTTAACAATTGTATTATTTATTCTTTCTTTTGTTGTTCATATTTATGCTTATTCTGCATTTAGTTGATGAAAAAAAGTAAAATAGTAATACTGGTAAATTTTGTAATAGCATTCAACAATTTTATGATTTTTAATTATATTTATTTCTGCTTGTTCTGCATTTAGTTAATCAAAAATAAAATAAAAATTTTTGATCAGCTAAATGCAGAAAAAGAGACTTTTTTTCTTAAACAAAAAAATAAAGAAATTAGTTTTAATTTATTTTCAAATGTAATGTGTTCAGCAGAAATGACTCCTATGTTCCCGATATGCTGATTGCTGATGATATGCTGCTTTTGATTTTTTTTCCCCAGTATTAGAACGTTATGCTGAAAATTTTTGTCAACTTAATTTGATTACGATTCTTCGTTTGATACGATAAAAATGTCTTCACTATCAAATTTGAAAAGGTAAATTAAGTTTAAAACAACGACAACAACACATGATTATGTAATATTAATTGCATGAATAAATGATTAATTAGGGTGCAATATAATAATAATCATACCCTCTGGTATATTTTGTGGTGTCGCAGAATACACTGTATAGGATAATAAACATAAGATATTAGGTATTATAGATGGAAAGATAGTTAATGATATATGGTAATATGGTAATATAGAGTAGGAGAGCACAATATTACACGTCATTATGGATATGCAGACAGAAACAAATACCAGCATCTTGAGAAAGTTGCAATCTTTAAAGTACAATGTTTACGTTGTTACAGAGTGCATTTTATTTAGTGATATATGTTTTATTTTATTTTTTTATAATTTTTTAGGGGTTTTTAAGTGAAGTTTGACAAACTAATTTCGAGAGGATCACATGCTATGATTGACCGCGGTTGGTTCCGCATCACAAACCAACGTTAAACCAATCAGGTAAATCCTAGCCTTTAATAAATAGCCCAGTTTGTTTTACTCCCAGCATCTTCGATTTGAAGAAACCCCTTATATGTTAACCGTTTGTTACGTTCCCACTTTAATCTAGAGGCAAAACACAGCTAGGAACAAACAAATGAAGGAAGAGGGGAGAGTACCGCTTCCAGACCCAGAATCAACAGTCAACACCTTCTTAATATTCTGATCACCATCTGGCAACCATTGATTTATTGTGTGATCAAATGAAATAATATATCTTACATTTTTAAGAAACAATACAAAACAAAAATAATACCTCAGGATAAGGGGGTCCAAAATAACAAACAAAACAACCAATAACTCATTTAAGACAAACTAACTTACCTAACAAAATAAACAATCTCAAAAAAACAAAAACAAATACATATTACTTCCCTTTCTCCCTGCCTACCCACCAAAACAGAAAAGAATTTTAAAATAAAAGAAACCCCACACCTTACTCATACCAGCGACTTAGTTCACATTATAAACATGAAACAACTAGAAGTCATTGGTGAGCTTAAGAAATATATTTGAAAGTTGATTAAAAACAATTATATTTCTTATTATAAAGTTGTAATTATTTGATCCATTCTTCTGTGGGCGGAAACATTGTGATGGTGAGTGTTATGTGGTCATTTACCAGGCTGTTCTTCTGTGGTCTCTCTCTCTCTCCTCCCCTCTCATGTGGATGAAGACGAGTGCAGAAATCGCTGCTGCTTTTCTCCTATAGGGAAGCCTGTGAATATTAATTACTATGGTGAAACACTGACCCTTGGGCAGCAATTAATTTCAATTGAACTATGCCAGCGAGAAGTCATACAAACAGCAACAATGCTATTAAGTCTCCAAGGTTGCGATGTCCCTGAGGTATAGAAACCCTCCGACTGCCAGCTTAAAAGGTGATTCACGGATAAAAAAAAGGAAGTGCTGATTGAAATGTCGCCTCCATGCAGATTTACCTGTGTCAGGCATACGGGAAACACACTGTTACTATAAACTATTAACTATTTGAATTTGCCTTTAAATTATTTCCTCGGATGTCTGTGAGCTCTGGTTCGGGTTTAAAATGGGCTGCGCAAGGTCATAGTGTTTGTCCACAATAATTTTACACAAATGCTCATTATCTCGTAAATGGCCTTTTGTGCTGTGGGAGAGAATAAAAGCATCAACTTTCAGGAATCATATAGCGACTCTGCCAGTTTCAATAAAAACATTAAATTGACTTCATCATAAACTGTGTTCTGATTATTATCAGTGTGTTCGATTTGTTTTTAATTTATATCCTAAAGCTCATTATGGTTCATCCACTTCAATGAAATGCATGTAGCATTGATATTATGGACCTTGTCATTCACAATAAAAAATAATGGTGTTAAGGCAAAAAAGGGGTATATTATAAAAATATATATATAGGAAATACGTTTGGATATAACTGTAAACTCAATTTTTTACAATCAAAAAATGCCTTGCTGCTTGTTCAAGCTAAGCAAGTTGAAACAACACAATTATTGACTTTTTGTTGGGACAACTAAAATTCTTCATGTTCATTCATTCATTCATAAATTTTCTTATCGGCTTAGTCCCTTTATTAATATGGGGTCTTATCCAACTTATCCATTGAGTTTTTACGCAGCGGATGCCCTTCCAGCCGCAAACCATCTCTGGGAAACATCCACAAACACTCACTCACACACACTCATACACTACGGACAATTTAGCTTACCCAATTCCCCCAATTCATCTTTGGACTGCGGGGGAAACCAGAGAAACCCACGCGAACGCAGGAACATGCAAACTCCACACAGAAAGGCCAACTGAGCGAAGGATCGAACCAGAGACTTTCTTGCTGTCAGGCAACAGCACTACCTACTGCGCCACTGGTTCGCCCTATTTTATTAATTTATGTATTTTTTCATGTTCAGACCACTTAAATTTGTAAAAACTATTAGGTTAGCTTAAATGATTTGTGTTGAGACAGCATGACGAAATTATGTGGAACTCAGCATTTTTTTTACAGTGTAGGTATTCTGTTTCCTCTGATATGGTAATTATGTTCTAATGGTCTTTTATTTAAAAACTCTTAAACCTAAACCACAGTACATCACTGTCACAGAACGTTTGACATTCATATATTTGTATAAAGTGATCAAATTGGGGTATTTACTAAAACAAAACAAAAAAAAAACTAAAAACTTTTGCTGTGTGTTCAAACTACTTATTTAAAATGAGTTGAAACATCACTATTCTTTTCGGGGTTTTGTGTTAACTAAAATATTTTGTGTGCAATCGACTAAAATTTTTAAAAATGAATAAGTTAACTTCATTGATTTGTGTTGGGACAATAGGAGTAGAGTGGAACCCAGCATTTTTTAGATGGTGTAGCATCATTCGCGTTGTAGACATGTACTGATATTCAATAGTGCAATATATTGATAATGAACATGCATTATTTTGTGAACACTTTAAAATACTGTAAAATATTTTCAAATTTGATGTATTCACAGTGGAATATCATCACACATCTAATGCTTAAAGACATAATACACTATTTATTTATTTAACAGACTTTTTAATTAATCTGAAATTCAAAATTTTGGAAATTTAAATGCCCTTCCAGGCCCGTGATACTGACTGAAAATCTTTCTTTATAGGCCCATTTGTTTATTAACACTTTATAATAAGGATCCAAACTGTAATTAATTCTAGTTGGTGGTCATTTCTTAGTGAATGTTTTACAATGACAAGTTGTAACTGTTTTGTTTAATGAAATAAAGTGGGCATCACGCTGGCGCAGTGGGTGGCATGATCGCCTCACAGCAAGAAGTTCACTGGTTCAAGCCTCGGCTGGGTCAGTTGGCATTTCTGTGTGGAGTTTGCATGTTCTCCCCATGTTTGCATGGGTTTCCTATGGATGCTCCGGTTTCCCCCACAGTCCAAAAACATGTGGTATAGGTGAATTAGGCTAAATTGTCCTTAGTGTATGAGTGTGTGTGAATGAGTGTGTATGGTGATTGGTTGCAGCTGGAAGGGCATCCACTGCATAAAACATATGCTGGAGAAGTTGGCGGTTCATTCCGCTGTGGCGACCCCAGATTAATAAAGGTACTAAGCCAAAAAAGCAAATGAATGAGTAATGAAGTTCAGATGTATATATCAACATCATAACTTCTGTAACAAGCTATTTCTCAGTGTTGATGTTGTAATATGCATTAATAATGTTAAACAAACCTTATTATGGTGACCTATATTGTACTACCATTGCAATTAAATTTGAACATTTATTTACAATGAAGCAAAAGACAAAAAAGTATATAAAGTTACCCTTTTATTTCAGATAAAGACTTTAATTTGAAAATTAGATTGTAAAACTGTTCTGTTGTAAATGATAAATTAATTATAAAAAATAAAAAACAAACAAAAAATGCAACATAACATTAACAAAATGCTAAAATATAATATGTAAATAAAAGTACAACTTCTATGTCAATTTTCCACATTAAAAATAGATTCAATATATTATATGTCGAAATCCCATTTGGTCTGGTCCCATTACGATAAGAATTACTTGAGTTAAATAATTTATTTACTATTTAAAACAGCGAGATTGTTTTTTTAAGTACAATAATTTGCATTAATGGACATTACTACTGTTTGTATTTTTGCATTTTAATCTCAAAACAGTTGTCAAACAATAAATATTTAGCTATTACACCAATTTACCTCAGACTCTTGGCTTCAGTAACGTTAAAGCTCGCCAGTTATTTGTGTTTTGGTCACAAACAGAACAGCAGTTATCATGACGTCTTTTGTTCTCCACCCCTCAGGGTGGCGCTGCATCTGTGAGATTTTGTGTGTTCGGGTTCAAAGGTTGTTTCACTATCCTCGTGTTTTCATCGCTGTTGTGGACCTGTAAACTTCCTCTACAGGAAATCGAATAATCAAAGTAAGATGGCACTTTCTAATATGTGAAAATTATATTTAACACTTATTTTTCTTGACGTCTTACCTGGTTCGGTTGTTACATTGTTCTGTAACGTTAGTGCACAAAATGACAGATCTGACGACACACCGCTTGACTGTCGCTATATAATTTTACAAGCGTAAACGCCATGCTTTTATTTGTCGTTTTAGTCTCTCATTTAAAGTAGAATAGAATGGAAAAAGTTCTCACGACGGTTAGTTAAAACAAGGCAATGTCAATGTGGTGAATTGACCATGACGTTTTAAATTGTATCAATCTGAACGTAGAAACAAAATGGTACATACTTCCAATATTACATACTGTAATCTCAGGGTGGAGTAATAAAAAAAGAACAGTTTTTAAATAATTTGTAAATAAAATAAAAAATAAAAATAATTAAGGGGCTTTGAAAATTAAATTAGCTTCTAAAAGTCCAAAAAAGACATGAGCTTAAGGGCTTTTTTTAATCATTCACCAATTTTACAGATTTGCAAAGAAGTTTTACCTCGAATTGACCATGAAGTTTAATTGTGCAAATAATATTTGATGTTACTGAAGCAGTCAGCGGTTTGGTTACAAGTCACATTTTGTTAAAATTTTTAATTATTAAATTTAACATCAAATTGTCAAAACCTTCTTTCTGTTTTTTTCCATGCAGAGTAATTATAGTAACTGTGTTTTAGTGTAGAAAACACACTCATGTATGAAATTATTAAGAACAACAGGTGCGACTGAGCGGCAAACAAAATATCAGCAAAAGAACACAAAAATGGGCTCTCAGACAGTTGTTAAATTTGAAACAGAAACTCTCTTTATTTTTCACTTAACCTTTTAAAAAAATCTAAATCTAAAATGTGCTTTGACATTAAAAACAAAGTATACATACTTTATATTAAATAAACCATTGTTTAGAAGTGAGTAATTAGTAAGGCTGGGTGATTTGGCCTAAAATCAAAATCTCAATTAATTTAATTTTTTAACTCTATTACGATTAATGAATGATTGTTTTATTTATTATCTTGTTTTTGCCCTCATAGTTCACTTACAGGTTTTGTACAGTAAATATGTTCACATATTACAAGTGAGAAATTTTTGAATGTAGGGTTTGCTTATATAAAAAATACTTGAAGTAAACACACACTATATACTACCTATGATTATTTATTGAACATCAGCGCTGAACAACTGAAATTAAAACGCACATTGACTAAAATGTGGCTCTCTGCACCACACACTTTTATTTTTAAAATAACTACATCTCACCTTGGACATAAAATATTTTTTCCAATAATTCTGTAACAGAGGGCACATAAAGAACATACAACTTGTAAAATTACATCTTGGTGCATGACATCTGTCACATCTGTTGTCAGTATTAAGAAAAATTTCAGATAGCCTGGTTTTTGAGAAATGGATCCTATGAAATACCTTAAATTATATCAGGCTAAGGCGAGCACAAATTGTACTAGAACTTATTCTCTGTAGCAAACCAAGCCACCATTCTTTCTCAAAACATAGCCCTAACTCATTTTCCAAGATTTTTTAATTTTACTAAGAGAACAATTATCCAAGCTTAAAATGCACCCATAGATAAAAACACAAGTTTGACCTTTCATTTTAAATGATCATAATGTTTAAAATGAATTTGTCACTGATTTTATTTTCTTCCTGCAGTCATGTCATACACTTGCATAAGCTGCCGTGTGCAGTTTTCTGATGGGGAGGTCCAGCGGGCGCATTATAAAACCGACTGGCATCGCTACAATCTGAAGAGGAAGGTTGCTGACATGCCTCCGGTCACTGCAGAAAACTTTCAGGAGCGAGTGCTGGCGCAGCGGGCAGCGGCCGAGCAACAGAGTCAGGGTGGGGGACATGACGTGGCCTACTGCGCCACCTGCAACAAAAAGTTCTCCACCGACAATGCCTACACAAACCACATCCAGTCCAACAAGCACCAGCAGGCGGAGAAGAAAGCCCTGGCCACCGCCCAGGAGACTGTGCAGCGAATGAACGAGAAGAATCTGGAGAAAGGGGCGGGACTAGATAAAGATGCACAGAATGAGGCGATTCAAAAAGCAGTTAAAGAGCAGCAAAGACACACCCCTTCCAAAGCCACACCCACAGAAAAGCAGGTCAGAGAGCGGCCAGACAAACCACCTCGGCTGCAGTGGTTTGAGCAACAGGCCAAGAAGATCGCAAAAGAGGAGGGTGAAGAAGAAGAAGAGGAGGAGGAGGGTATGAGTAATTACTAGGCTTGTCACAATAATCAATTTATCGACTTCTTGTGCAATACTTTGATATGACCTCAATAACTTTTGGTGTGTCAATATTAGGGCTGCTCGATTATGGGAAAAATCATAATCACGATTATTCAAAACGATATATTGTTGAAGTCAAAAATATTAGCCCTCCTGTGAATTATTTTTACATATATTTTCCAAATAATGTTCAACAGATTCAGGAATTTTTCGCAATATTTCCACTAAGATTTTTTTCTTCTGGAGAAAGACTTAAAAAAAGCAGGTTTAAATATTTTAAAACCTATTTTAAGGTCAATATTATTAGCCCCCATAAGCAATATATTTTTTGATTGTCTACAGAAGAAGCCACTGTTTTACAATGACTTGCCTAATTAAGTCTTTAAATTGCACTTTAAGCTGAATGCTTGATAATGAAATATTATGTACTGTCATCATTGCAAAGATAAAAGAAATCAGTTATTATAAATGAGTTATTAAATCTGTTATATTTAGAAATGGGTTAAAAAAACTACCTTTCCGTTAAACAGAGATTGGGGAAAATTATAAAGGGCCGCTAATAATTCTTCAACTGTATATATACAGTTGTTTTCCTCCCTGTATATAAGGAAAGGGGATTAAATACAATGGAATAAAAAAATGAAACAAACTGCTTTAAGCATCTTTACTGTAAGAAAAACTTTAGCTCAAAGTCCTTCAGTCAAGAGCAGTGAGGGATTTTGTCCTTTTGTTGTTTAAGTAATAATGATAAAAACGGTCGTTAGCAGGAATATTGTGCGCTGTCACTTTTAAGAGCAGTACACTTCTGATTTATGGTTTCACTTTCACATGTCTTTTTATATTCTCATCTCGTTTATTACATAAATGAGGGTTAATATGAATAATCACTGAACACCGTGTTTTGTCACACATTTGCATTTATTTGACCATTAAAGCGCTCACATTAAGATGACTTTAGATGTGTATGAATAAAAAATCTGACACATACCTTAGGAACGGTATAGCAGAAAATTTTGGCGGTTTTTAAAACATTGACTTTTTCAAACTGCGGTATACCTTGAAAACGGTCATCGTCCCATGCCTATATATAAAAGGACATCTCCTTTTAAACATCAGATTACCGAATCTTAGGAAACCTTTAGGTTAAAAGTTTTTTGTCGCTTGAAAGTGTTTTACTTGCTTTTTTATGGGGTTGTATAATCAGTGGCATATAATAATCTCACTTTGATTGCTTATCCTTGCAATAATTTCTGTGACAATATATCACACAATTGAAAATCTTTATCGTGATAGGCCTGGTGATTACAATAAAATACTAAGTGCTACTGTTGTTGTTTTTTTGGTCTCATTGGTTGGGTTTAAAACGAAAGAAAACAGATATTTTGTATTATTGTCATTTAAAAATATAGTTCACCCTAAACTTGTACTTTTAGTCACTGTTTCAAACCTGTTTGAGTTGAACACACATAAAAAAATAGATTTTGAGGAATGTTGGAACAAGGTAGCCAACTGACTAATGTTGTATTTTCTACGGTGGATGTCAGTAGCTACTGCTTTCTAAAATTCTTTAAAGAATTTTTTTCTGTGTTTAATGGAACAAATTTAACTCATAAGCTGTGTCTTAAATGGCACACTATGCACTTACTCACTCAACAGCATTGTATATGTATGTAGTGTTGTCCCAAATTGAACTCTAATGGTTATTTTACTAAGCACAAATTCAAACCATTTCCCTGATGATGTTTGACGAGTGAAATAATTGCATTATTCACATTAATCAAATTGAATTGAATGAATGTCAAACTGAATTTTGTTGAATATTGACACGGTTGTCTGCTATAAAGTTATTTTTTTATAGCTTTTATTGCTATTTGCAACTCCGACAGTTAATAATCTGACCTGAATCAACATTAAAATTAATTGTGCAAAACAAAATTCAAAAATTTAACTAAAACATTAGCTAATTTTATAGTTAAATAATGAGAAACCATTTTGTAATATTCTGTGGTATATAAAGCAATATATTAACAAATGTGCCCACTGCAAAGAATCATTTTTTTTGAGGAAAACTTAGACCTGAACTAAAACGAAGCATTTTATTAAACTGAACTAATTATTCAACATTAAACTAAATTGTTTTTTTTGGAGCAGTTCTATAGTTTATTAAATTTGTTTCATAGCTGTCAAATATGTAATTGAAAACCATTGTTTTTCTTCTCAGATTGGGAAGATGTTGATGAGGATGAGGAAATGGATGATGACGATGAAGAGGAAGAGGAGATGGAGCAGGACTCTACATCTGGGGCAGCTCTTGCCCCCGGTTCAATCACAGTGACAGACTGTCTGTTCTGCGGACATCATTCACACTCACTCAGTCGAAACGTAACACACATGACCAAAACACACAGCTTCTTCATCCCAGACATTGAGTATCTGGTGGACCTGAGAGGACTGATGTCATACCTGGGTAAGTGAGAACTGAGTTTTTATCTTTGTTTGTTAGAATTTGTTTTTTATAAATGTTTCTGTCATTAATCTGTGTTTTTTTTTCTGTAGGAGAAAAAGTCGGCGTTGGTAAGGTGTGCTTATGGTGCAATGAAAAAGGGAAGTCATTCTACTCTACAGAAGCGGTTCAAGCACACATGACCGACAAGAGTCACTGCAAACTCTTCACAGATGGAGACGCTGCACTTGAGTTTGCCGATTTCTATGATTTCAGGTACACAAACAATTGTTAAATTTTTTTTTTACATATTTTGTTTTGGGACTGTTGTTGAGTATTATATAATTTCTGATAAACTACACATCAAAATAAGTATGGTAACTAAAAAGTTATATTTTTTAATGTTTATTCAATCACAAAGAAGACATTGCAGTAAGGAAGGCATTTACTTCAATAATAATTTTGCTTACCATTACTTGTATGTATGTTAAATGCCTTTTTATTATTTCAAGTTGTGTAAATTAAGCTTAGACACTGATTTTAACAAGCTTTTATTAACAAATATAAATAAATTGGAATGAATCAATATTAAGAAATGTTGTACAAAATTAATGTATCGTATTTATTAATTACTCATAGTTTGTGTGGAAATGGAAATTCACCCAGTCTAATTTTTAATTGCAAATGATTTATCTATTTGTTTTATTTTATATTTTTACTATTATTAAAATGTCATAACTTCTGGCTTCAAAAAACAAACAAACATTAGAATAGAACAAACAACCAGTGGATCATTTATTTACAGTGTATCCAGAAAGTATTCATTGCGCTTCACTTTTTCCATAAATTGTTATGTTCCAGCCTTATTCCAAAATTGATTAAATTCATTTATTTCCTCCAAATTCTACAGACAAGACCCCATAATGACAATGTGAAAAACAAGTTTTTTTAATGGTTGCAAATTTATTAAAAATAAAAAACCTGAAAAACCACATGTAGAGAAGTATTCACAGCCTTTGCCGTGAAGCTCTAAATTGAGCTCAGGTACATTCTGTTTCCACTGATGGTTTTGAGATGTTTCAGCAGATTAATTGGAATTCACCTGTGGTAAATTCAGTTGACTGGACATGATTTGAATAGGCATACACCCCTATGAACCTTAAAGAAGGACAACCATCTGTGCAGATATCTACCAATCAGGCCTGTATGGTAGAGTGGCCAGACGCAAGCCACTCCCCGCCTGGAATTTGCCAAAAGGCATCTGAAGGACTCTCAGACCATAAGAAACAATATTCTCTGGTCTGATGAGACTAAAATTTAACTATTCGGAGTGAATGCCAGGCATTACGTATGTGGAAAACTAGGCATCGCTCATCAGCAGGCTAATACCATCCCTATAGTGAAGCATGGTGGTGGCAGCATCATGCTGTGGGGATGTTGTTGAGCAGCAGGAACTGGAAGACTAGTCAGGATGGAATATCAATGTATACATGATACATACATACCACCAAAATATCAATGGAGTGGCTTTACAACAACTCGGTGAATGTCCTTGTGTGGCCCAGCCAGAGCCCAGACCTAAATCCTATTGAACATCTCTGGAGAGATCTGAAAAGGGCTCTACACTGTCGCTTTCCGTCCAACCTGATAGAGCTTGAGAGGTACTGCAAAGAGGAATGAGCAAAAATTCCCAAAGACAGGTGAGCCAAGCTTGTGGCATCATATTCAAAAAGACTTGAGGCTGTAATCGCTGCAAAAGGTGCATCAACAAAGTATTGAGCAAAGGCTGTGAATACTTATGTACATCTGATTTTTTTCAGGTTTTTATTTTTAATAAATTTGCAACAATTTAAAACTCTTTTTCCATATTGTCATTATGGGGTATTGTGTGTAGAATTTTGAGGAAATAAATGAATTTAATCCATTTTGGAAAAAGGCTCTAACATAAAAAATGTGGGAAAAGTGAAGCACTATGAATACTTTACGGATGCACTGTATATTTTCTGAGACAGTCACGAACTCCATTGCATTGTAAAATTTAACTTTTAATTTTTTTAAAAGACGTTTTGTTTTATGATTAAGAATAAAATTAAGTTTTATAGAATGTTTTATTTTGAATGTGAGTAAAAATGATTTTCCCTATAAATAAACAGGAGCAGTTATCCTGATGCTAAAGATGGAGTTGATGTGGAGATGAAGGATGGTGAACTGCCTGATGACAAGACTGTAGAGTTTGACGATGAGACGCTGGAGCTCACTTTGCCCTCTGGTATTTAACACATTACTCTGTGATCCTTATGTTATTTAATTTACATGTTATTATGCACACATCGCACAGCAGACTGAACATGTTCTTTGCTTCAAAGTAAAAAACAAATATTAGAAATAACTGCAATGTTACGTTGATAATAAACTCAGACGCCGTCCATGCTGCTGAGAGTGAATGTAGATGAATATGATAATATTATATAACAAAATAAACACGTGAGAAGTATTGCTGAAGAACTCATCTGATTAAAGCCTTTGCTTTGTTACAGGGGCTAAAATTGGCCATCGTTCTCTAATGAGATACTACAAGCAGAGGTTTGGTGTTCAGAGGGCATTGGTTCCAGCACATAACCAGAAGGCTGTTGGTCGAGTCCTCAAACAGTACAAAGCCCTCGGGTGGACAGGAGACTTCGGTAAGTTATTTTACAGAAAAGATGTATCCAACATTTGTTGTTGTAGATGTTATGTAGGTCATTCAAGTGTTTATCTTTGCGCACCACTGACTGTTTAAAATGTATCTTTTTTAGGTAAGGGTTTCGTGAGCCAGCAGCAGAAGGACATGCAGTATGTACAGAGGATGAAGTCCAAGTGGATGCTGAGGACGGGCATGGGCAATAATGCCACCAAACAGACCCATTTCAGAGCTCAAGTCATGTTCTAGTCAATTCTTCATCATCAGTAAACACCAACTACTCTGACATAAAATCAGCACAAGAGACTGAAATAAGAATCATATATGTGTGTTGATTCAGCTGAGAACTGAGGGACCGTTCGTTTAAAAATCTAAATTCAGTCATCATTTAGTCACTCTTTACTTATTTTGAATGTTTCTGAGTTTCTTTCTTCGGCTTAACAAAAAAAGAATATGTTTTGAAGAAAGCTGGAAACCTGTAACCATTGACTTCCATAGTATTTATAGAAATCAATGGTTACGGGTTTTCAGGTTTCTTCAAAATATTTTCTTTTGGTATTTAAAGAAAGAAACTCAGAAATGTTTGGAACCACTTAAAGGTGATTACATTTTAATTTGAACCCTTTAGGAGTTACTTGCAAATAAAACTGATGTCCAGATTGTAAGTTGAATCATTAATGATTGAGTAAATCTGATAAAACATTGTTTTTCTGGTACCTGGGGATCTGAATCGTGTGCTGATCCACTATGAACATAATATTGCTACTTTAGGTTTTGTAATCATTCAGAATGACCTTTACTACCAATTATAGTTTAATTACGGCTTGTAAAAGGCATAAATATCATATAACACCTTTTTCTGAATTGTAACAGTACATTGTCAATAAAATAAGCAGTCAATCACTTGTTGTTTTTGTCTTTTTTTTAAGTGAGTCAAGACGTTGCCTTTTATGAATTACTAGAGTTTTATTATACTGGTGGTAGAAGTCAATATAAAATAGTAATGCATGAATACGCCTAAAAAGAGCTCCTGGCAGGTAGGGAGCGCTGTTTCATTCCGCAAGCCTAATGAAAAAAACTCAAAAGGTCACGAGGAAGTTAATCATAACATTTGAAATATCTAATGTGGAGGGTGGACAGTAAGAAGAACCAGTACTTTTATAATATAATGTGATATCAGCTGAAGCTCTCTTCACATCGGACACAGTAGGTCTCCTACCTGATATGCACGTTAACATTTTGAATTGTAGCGAATGTCAAATGCGAATGACTAAAGCTGGATGTTTCTAAACTGTTCACGTTAATCATATGATGCAAAATGTCGATATAAAATCATATAATGTCGGCAGTAAATTGTCGACAAATGTTACAAACATTTGTTGTTAGTAAGTCAAATCACTTCAGCAGTATAACTTGTCTGTCTCTATCTATCTATCTATCTATCTATCTATCTATCTATCTATCTATCTATCTATCTATCTATCTATCTATCTATCTATCTATCTATCTATCTATCTATCTATCTATCTATCTATCTGCCTGTATGTCTGTCTAATGTTTTGTTGACATTAACCTACATCACTAAATGCTGTAAAAAGATTCATTAGCACCCTGACTGAAAATTAAAGTTAATATCTGTCTGTCTATCGTTGTGATATATTTAAAGGTCTGTCATTTCTTACCATCCCTGACTAAATAATACTCAAGTTAATGTAAATCATAATATTATCTGTCTATTTCTGTTATATTATGCACAGTAATATAACAGAGGAATATTAAAGATTTATATGTTTTACCAGTCTAAATAAGTGTTATATATAAAATTATTATATTTATATATATTTTTTTTCTGAGCAAAAATTAATGACTACAGTACAAGTAAGCACAGTATTGTCCATTAGGAAAGTAAGTACTTTACTCTCTCCAGCACAGATATGGGGCTGTTTCAGAAGTGCTCACGACTCTCTCTGAGGTCCAGCTATATGTGGTCAGTCTGTCCTCAGTACAGCATTGCAGTCACTGCCCGAGAGACCCCAGACAGGGCTCTGATAGTGCACTGGACTCAGCATCGTGATGTGCACAACAGCAGACGGCTGGGAGCCAATCCAGCCAACCCCAGTGCTGCTCCTCCACGCTTACCCTTCTCCAGGGTCACACAGGAGGATCTGTCCTTCTTCAGAGCGCTACTGCCTGGAAGAACCATCACTGATCCAGACCTGCTGAAGTCCAGTAATGTAGACTGGCTTAAGACTGTACAAGGTAAACTAGATTTCCATTCGCTAAAGAGGAATATTAAAGATTTATATGTTTTACCAGTCTAAATAAGTGTTATATATAAAATTATTATATTTATATATATTTTTTTCTGAGCAAAAATTAATGACTACAGTAATGACTACAGTAACATAGTTAATAGAAGACACTAAACATTCAGTGTAACAGTAATTTATATATTTATATAAATTATTTATATACTATTATAAGAGCAATAATAGATTGAAACCATAATAAATAAAAAAAACTTTAAGGATCACAATAAAGCCCCAAAATGCTATTTTTTTATTTTAAAACTTTATACTGTTTGTTTATTTATTTTTTTTAATACTACTTATTTGCCACCAATAAGTATTACAAAAAAGTGTCTTTATATATTTTCACTTCAAGTAGAAGTGGACAAGAGGTCAGATTACAATTACATTGTTTATTTTTTTTTTTGTAAATATGTATATGCTTTTTGCTGAAAAAAAAATGTAATATTGATTTATCCACATTTTCACAAGTGATTTGAAACATTATAGTTGGCAAAGTTAAAATTATTTGCGTTTAATGTGCTTTCTACATATATAATTTTATTTGAAATACTAAAATGATAATAAATCTGAAACAATGCTGGTTTCTGGGGTTTGGCCTCCTTAGCTGAATGAACAGGTTTTGTTTATTGATCAAAAAAAGGATTTAGATACCTGGGTATTATTCTTACTCCCAAACCAAACCAGCTTTTTGGGGCAAATTATTCAAATCTAATAAAACAAATAAAAATGATTTAAAAGATGGAAGCTTCTTCCTTTCTCATTACTGGCTAGAATTGAGGTAATAAGAATGAACATATCCAGACTTGTCTCTCCCAGTAAATGTGCCTGTCTCACAATTTAATTTGTTAGATAAAATATTTGGAAAATTCGTAAGGCAGAAAAAGTAAGCTAGGATAAATTATAAGTCATTGATTTTTATCAAAGGATAAAGAAGGTTTAGGCTTACCAAATCTAAAATATTACTACTGGGCAGCTTAATTAACTGCAATGGGGTATATGCCGAAGCATGCTATTAGGACTTTTAATTTGCCAGTAACCTGGGTTAAGCGTTTCCGGCGAATTGAATGCCAATGCAAAATACAGTGCGTTTAAGGTCTGTTTTCTTTAAAAATCAGCGATCTCCACTAGCTGAGTAATATCCGATTTAAAGTGGGTCTCGGATTGTACAAGAAGCACTGCAGTAAATTACATTTCCCCCGCCATATCTTTATTATTTGAGCATTTATTTTTACCCCAGTATATTCAATGTAGCTTCTGCATTAGCCTGCCGATTCTGACGGGCGCGTGCAAGTAAACAGCTTTTTGTCTCGTTTTACGCTTGAGCAACTAAATAAATGCTAAAGTTTATTTAACTGAATGTATTTTAATGACATTACAACATCGATGCTGTATAAGGAACCGTATAAAATGGAAAAAAGTTCACAATAACAGGTCACCGGAAGTGTATCAGCATGGGAAGTTGGGAGCAGCACTAGCTCGGCATATACCCTATAGTAGCTTTGATTAGAAATAATAAAGAATCAGGATGGGTTGAAATAGAAAAAAGCACAATAAAAGAGAAATCATTGTCTGTTCTACCTTTTATAACTGTAAAACAGGCCCCAAAAATAAAATTGATAACCAGTGGATAAAACATATTTAAAAAATTTGGAATAAAATTAAAGAAATGTTCGGAGGTCCAGAATCTTTATCCAGGGCTATGCTTACAGTAGGAAACATTGAGTTTCTCCCATCTGTATGGGATGGTGGATTTCAAATATGGTCAGATAAAGGTCTTATAACAATAAATCAGTTATTTATCGGAAAAGGAATTAAATCATCCTCACAAATCCAAGAACAATTATTTTTTTCATCTATAGATAAACAGGTTCTTCATTACAACCCATAAAGAAAAAGCTCTAGTCATGCAAGAACCAAATAAAAAAGAAGAATACTTCAGAAGAATATTGCAGAAAAAATTATTCCAACTAAAACACCTGTCATTTATACAAAAGATTGGTAACTATAGAAAATACAGATCATGTTAAAGGAAAACAGGAACTAGAACTAAATACCCTAATTGAGGATGAGGTCTTGATTGAGTTGAAAATAACAGTCAATTATGGAAAGAATTTGATTCGGAAGTAAAATGAGTTACTTTTATACTCCTTTTGTGATTTCTACATATGTAAAGGGACCATCTGTTCCTTTGTGTTGGAGAAAATGTGGTAAAATTAAAGATCATACTTACATTTTATGGGACTGTCCTAAGATTCAAGAATTTTGGAAAAATGGTAAAAAAGTAATAGATAAGATACTAGGTATAGAAATACCCCTTGATCCAGTTATGTGCTTACTGGGAGAACTGTCCATAGAAATGTTTAATGAAGAAAAAGGATTTGTCCTAAGAATATTATTATTGGTTGCAAAAAAATAATAACAGTACATTGCATGGAAGAAGGTTTTCCAAAGGTGGCTCAGTGGATTCAGAGACTTAAACAGGTCTATATAATGGAAAAAATGACTGCATGTCTAAAAATGAAGACTGATATTTTTCTGAAGAGGTGAAAAGTATTTCGACATATTTAGATATGTATATTTAGAGGTTACTTTACCTATCACCACTGTCATGTGAGGTAACCACAATGTAACACAATGTAACTTGATGTACAAATGTATCCCCTGAAAAGTAATTATTATGGCTGTACCTTTTATTTATTTAGGTATTTTTTATTATTTTCTTTTAATTGATTTTTTAAATAATTTCATTATAACTTTTTATGTATTCCCTCATTTGTAAGGGGTTAAATTGTTGGGGAAGGGGTTATTCCGCAAAACATTAAAAAATCTTAAATAAAAAGTTTCTAAAGCAAATAAAATGAAATACAAAAATGTATATAAAAATATACCTCTCTCTACTGTATATATAAGATAAAGTAAATAGTTTAAGCTATTTAATTCTATTTAGGAAAAAAAGCATAATGTTTGAGTGTTATATTAAACATTAATGATTAAAAAGTCGTGACATTTTTATGAATGGTGATGTTTTTTTCTGTCAGGTAGTAGTGATGTTCTCCTGAGACCCAAAACAACAGAAGAGGTCTCTCAGATTCTCAGGTCAGTTTTCCAGGATGATGCTGCATTACAGCTGTATTTGGGTTGTTTTGTCAGCTCTTCTGTTGTGTCTCCTCAGGTACTGTAATGAGCGAAATCTGGCAGTGTGTCCGCAGGGAGGAAACACAGGTCTGGTGGGAGGAAGTGTGCCTGTGTTTGATGAAATCATCCTTTCCACTTCTCTAATGAACCAAGTCTTCGCCTTCGACAATATCTCAGGTGTGCATATACACCTAGAGCCTAGTTTTGCTAGATCACCTCATTATCTGTCATGACTTTGCGTAAAGCAGGTGAGATTAGTCATTGTGAAATAAATTTAAGTTGCCTTGACATGGAAGTTAAGATGTTCATTTATCCACTGCTGGGATGTAAATCCACTAGAAATATCATGAAAAGAAATGACAAAAAATGTAGGGCGGTGCTTGATTTTGTTCTTTGAGAACCGATTGGATTGTTGAAAGATGGGCGCTGCTAACAAAACAAAGGAAGATTGATGAATGGACACAAGACATACCCTCATTGCCCCAACCTAAAGGCATATCATGTGACCAGAAGTGAAGAAAAGTTGTTTTGAGGGGGAGGGAAGGTTAGGATATTTGATGATATTTAAAAATTGTGATGGCAAATTAATTTTTAGGAAATAGTGACGTGTACACATACTTTATTTATAACAAGCACTACTGTGTGCCTATAAAAATAAGTAGTCAGTTTTGATTTTATGGCCACTTTAAATAAAAATAAGCACATTTTTAAGGTAAAAAAATGAATAGTTTTCACCATACTTCAATTCATTAGCTGATTTTATTTTCTGTGTTTATATTTTCTAAGTTTTTAAAAATGTTATACTCAAATATTCGAAGGAGGTATTATAATACCATAAATTTGGGATAATTTGCATACATTTAAAGCACAAAAATCTTAACACCATTCATTTATTTATTCATTAATTTTCCTTCTGCTTAGTTTCTATTTCAGGAGTCACCACAAAGGAATGAACCGCCAACTATTCCGTCATATGTTTTATGTAGCGGATGCCCTTCCAGCCACAACCCAGTACTGGGAAACACCCAAAAAATCACACATTCATTTCACACACACTACGGCCAATTTAGTTAATCCAATTCACTTATAGCACATGTCTTTGGACGTTGGGGGAGACCGGAGCACCCAGAGGAAACCCATGTGAACATAGGGAGAACATGCAAACTCCACACAGAAATGCCAACTGGCTCAGCCAGAACTCGAACCAGTGACCGTCTTGCTGTTAGGCATCAGTGCTAACCACTGAGCTACTGTGCAGCCCTATCTTAACATTAGAAAAAGCAAATAATAATAATAATGATAATAATAATTTTTGACTTGTTAGAGGGGATGAAAATTTTACCAAGGGGATTTTGGGAATTTTTATCGGTCTGTAATTTAGAAAATAATGAAAGCAAGATTTTTTTTTTCCAGAATACAGGTATGAAGAAAACTTTAAAGTTGACTGCAAAAGCACTGACACATATTTAAAAAAGTGCATGTAAATAAATACTTAAAAGTGTGTACTGAGTGATTTCTGTACATTTTACTAAAAAAGACTTTACGAAAAGCTCCAAAATCTATCAGGAAAGTGTTATTGTCTGTAATGTGTCACCTTAATACATTTCTTATTAAGGTTGCTTTGACTTTCAGGTATCCTCACTTGTCAGGCAGGCTGTGTGTTGGAAAACCTGTCTCACTATCTAGAGGAGAGAGACTTCATCATGCCGCTGGATCTCGGAGCAAAGGGAAGCTGTCATATTGGAGGGAATGTGTCTACTAATGCAGGTGGTCTCAGACTTCTGCGCTATGGCTCACTTAGAGGGACGGTTCTGGGCCTGGAAGTGGTGAGCACATTTACATCTACGAGATTCACACAAAAATTTACTTCAGTTTTTTCTTCAGTTAAACACAGAAGATATTTGGAAGAGTGCTGATAGCCAGAAAAGTGATGTTAAGCATTGACTGTCATTGCTTTTTTCGACTATAGAAGTCAGTGGTAACATCAACTGTTTAGTTAGCAACATTCTTTAAAATATCTTGAACCGAAAAAAAATGTATACAGACTTGGACCAACTTGAGTAAATGGCGAGTAAATGAACACACATTTATCTATGTTATTTATGAGCAGTTTTCTTGTCATATTCCATTACCCGCAACAATATTTGGATACTCCATTTTTTTACATGAGAAAGATTGTAAAAAAATAGCTTTTACTGAAAATGTCTAGATTATAAAATCTATGTAGCTTGAAGTATATGGAATTTAGAGATTTTAATAATTTTCATGACATTTTCACTTATGCAGCTAGGATTTACATTGCTTAATCTTGTTTTTTTTTCTTCTTTTGTTGTCTTTTAATTGAAAACAATTTAGGGACAATAATAAGTCTTGTTTGTTGTTATGTTGGAAAACTTTAAAGCACAGGTCTCAAGCTCAAGACCTGGAGGGCCACAGCTTTGCACAGTTTTGGTCCAACCCTAATCAAACAAAGCTGGTGCAACTAATCAAGGCGTTCAAGACTACTAGAGACTGGTGTGAGTTGGAGCTAAACTATGCAGAGCTTTCGCCCTCCAGGAATTGAGTTTGAGACCATTGCTTTAAAGGTATAGTTACATGAAAATTAAAAAAATTTAAGAAAATACAGTCTTGTTTGTTGTTATTTAGGTAATCTTTAAAGGGATTGTTGCTTAAAAAAAGACAATACAAACATTTTGGTATTATTTTAGCTAATTTTTAAAAGGATAATTACTTGAAAAAATAAAAAATAAAATACAAAAATCTTGTTTGTTATGATTTGAGCAATTTTTAAAGGCATAATTACTTGAAAAAGGAAAAAATAAATAAAATACAATACATAAATTGTCTTATTTTAGCTCATCTTTAAATGGATAGTTATGTAAAAAAGAATAGAAATAAAGAAGACAATACAAAAATCTTGTTTGTTATTATTTTAGCAAATCTTTAAAGGTGTAGTTACTTGAAAAAAAGGCAATACAAATATATTGTTTGTTATTATGTAGCAAACATTTAAAGGGATAGTTACTTAAAAAAGACAATACAAATACATTGTTTGTTATTATGTTGCAAACCTTTAATGGGATAGTTACATTTCAAAATGAAAAATAAATAAATAAACGACTATACAAAAATCTTGTTTGTTGTTATGTTAGCAAATATTTAAAAGAATAGTTACTTAAAAACTAAATAAATAAATAAATAAAAGACAATACAAAAATCTTGTTTGCTATTTTTTTAGCTAATATTTAAAGGGATAATTACTTAAAAAAAGAAAAAGACAATACAAAAACATTGTTTGCTTTTTAGGCAATCTTTAAATGAATAGTTACTTTAAAAAAATAAATAAAATCTATAGAAAAATCTTGTTTGCTTTTTTTTTAGCAAATCTTTAAAGGGATTTTCACTTGAAAATGAAAAAAATAAATAAAAGACAACACAAAATCTTGTTAGTTATGTTAGCAAATCTTTAAAGGAATACTTAAAAAGAAATAGAATGTGAAAAAGTCTAGTTTGTTGAAAAAGAAGACAATACAAAAATTATGTTTGCTGTTATTTAAGCAAATCTTCAAAAGGATAGTTTACACAAAAAATGTATTCATTTTTAATTTATTAACCTTGGTGTTCTTCCATAATTCGTATGCCATTTCACTTCACTAGGACTACCAAAAAGCGATTTTTATAAGTATACGAAAAGCTAACTCATGCTGTATATTCTGGGTTGGGATCTTATTTTGTCTTATTTCAAATAATTTAAAGTCATCTTTAAAAGTTGGCACTGGCCACTATTATTATGATAATGCTAAAAAAATACATGATTCGTCTAGATGCTGCATCTACATTCATGCTTCATTTGTAGGCTGTAATCTTTAAGCATCAGAAATCACCTTCTTGTTATAATTATACATATTTTTCTCTGGGTACAGGCAGAACTGAGCTGAAATGATAATAAAGCATGTCTGATGAAAGGGATCCAAGTGTCCCTAAATGGCTCTGAGTTATATTTCTTATCTTTCTTGTTTGTGTAGGTTTTGGCAGATGGACGTGTTTTGAACTGTCTGGCCACACTTCGCAAGGACAACACGGGTTATGACCTCAAGCAGCTTTTCATTGGCTCAGAAGGGACATTAGGAGTCATTACTGCTGTTTCCATCCTGTGCCCCCGCAAGCCTAAAGCTGTCAATGTAGCCTTTTTAGGTAAAACACACATCAGAAATAAAGCACAATTCAAACTTGCTAAGATGTTAAGACAGTGTATCCGTGGATCCTTAAAATTTCTTAAATGCCATAGTATAAAGATAATTAGCATTAATTAGTCTTCAAATTATGAAGTCTGCATACCAATGATGATAAAATTGCAATCTAACCGACCCCATAAAGAAGATTTTGTCTGATTTGAAATCTATCGCTATTCGTCACCCAAAACGAAATAGGCCAAACCCAATAAAAGAAATGCTTGGATGGTAATTCATTAGTTGTCCTTTTTTTTTGCAAATTCGCTACTATAAAATTATACTCTACATTTGGTCATGAATTTCTTTCTGTGTGGTATTAAAATGGTCTTAAAAAGTCTTAAATATAGCTCTTAAAAACCAGCATATTCATAGTAAGGCAGGGTTGTCAAACTCAGTTCTTGGGGTGCCGCAGGTTTAGTTCCAACCCTGCCCCGATACATTTACCTGTAGGTTTCAAACAAGCCTGAAGGACTCAATTAGTTTCATCAGGTGTGTTTAATTAGGGTTGGAATAAAACTGTTCAGAGCTGCGGCCCTCCAGGAACTCAGTTTGACACCTGTGCTGTAAGGAAAATTCACATCAGGTATGATAACTGTAATGATAGCTATTAAGCTTTCATAAGCATTCGTATTCTGTGATGATTATTATAAAGTCTGCACTGATTCGTTTTTTAAAATGTCAAACAATAAAATCATCGATAGTCTTCATTCAGAATCGTTTAGGTTTAAAGACTTATAAACAGGCCCGTAGCCAGGGGGGTTCGGGTGGTTCGAAAGACCATGTTAATGTAAAATGATGGTTTGTTCTGTAGATTATCAAAAATAAAGGGGCTAATAGTTTTAGCCTTAAAAAAGTTTTTAAAAAATTAAAAACAAATGAGACTTTCTTCAGAAGAAAAACATTATCAGACATACTGTGAAAATTTCCTTGCTCTGTTAAAAATAGTTTGGGAAATATTAAAAAACAAAAATTTAAAGGGAGGCTAATAATTCTGATTTCAACTGTATATGATGTTATAAATTTGCATTTTAAAAATAAGTTTTAAAAAATAAGTTTTCATATCTGTTTATTATAAATCTTTAGGAAATATATTTGGTACATCAAAAACTGTGGTTTTGATAACTTTCCGATAAGCGTATCCAGCTAAAAATAGTGCTTAAAATGTCACTAAATGGAGTATTTAAAGCTCATGATTAAATAGAAAACGAAGCGAATAACTGCAAAACAGTCTAATTTTTGAGAAAAAAAAAACACACCCATTTGGCTGCCCTTTTCACCCACCAGGCTGATAAACAAAGTTGTTATGTTGTTGTAATTGTCTTTAATGTGTGGCTACATCAGCTCACCGCAGTTCCTCGTGTGTCCTGCAGGGTGCTCCAGTTTCCAGCAACTACTGGAAACATTTCAGTGTTGTAGAGGGATGCTGGGAGAGATCCTGTCTGCTTTTGAGTTTTTAGATGCCTCCTGTATGAACCTTCTGGAGAAGCATCTGAAACTCACCAACCCCATCACAGGTAAACATAATACTACTACTGATATGTAGATTTTTGGGATAAAGTTGTGAATTATGGAAATAGCATATCTTTTTATTTTTTTACTTTTTTGTGATGTTGTTAAGCCAAGACGTCCCATTCTGGTGTCCACATCAAGTTAAATTAGCAAAGGTGGGTTTTATAGACAAAATGAAAACAAAGCAAGTAAACTGTCAACTTTATTGTTAAAAAATAAAATATCACAATGTGGGAAAAATTTGACATAATTGATTTTTAGTCCTTTATAAATAATTTTGCTGACGAATGACTGGTAAACGAGTGCTTTAGAGAATAAAGAAAAAAGAAAAAAAATGATTTAAATGTGTTTAACGATATATTTTGGTACTATTTTACAGTGTTTCTTTTTCTTATCTAATTAAACTAAATTTGCATTTGACAGTGATAAATTATCAAAACAGCCCAATGGTCAAGTTATGATCATTTTAGTTGTTTATTTTTATTATTTCTTTTAAATAAGAGAGGTTAGTACCACTATTATATAAAAGAAATACAGGATGAGGATTGAAACAATCAGCTTGTTCAAATTTTCATACAGACCTACAAGAAAAGTATTACTAAAACTATTTCTAAATTATATAGAGCAGTAAGTAATTCTAGAGGACTCTCAACAGACTATATAAGATTTAAATGGGAAAATTAAGTAGGCATTATTTTGAATCAAGACCAATGGGTTAAAATATGTGCTGTCCCACACACCTCCACAAGCTCAAGAATGTGGCATGAGTTTTGCTGGAAAAACTTAATTAGATTTTTGGTGAGATAAAAAATCTAATCATTTCAATCGGGGAATACTCATCCTTGTTGGAGGAAAAAAAGAGGGACTACACATCCTTGTTGTGGGTAAAAAAAAGGCACATCATGCACATATATTTTGGCAAGAATGAATAATATTAAGGAGATTGTGCACTACGTCATCAATGATATTTTTGATCTCCTTATTCCTAGATCATCTAAAGTACTTTATCTAGGAGATAATCCTATTAATCTTAAATAGGAAGATAGATATCTATTTAAGATATTTTTGGCGACAAGAAAAAAAAGCTATAAGCCAGAAATGGTATAAAAAAGAACCACCAACTAAAGATGAATGGTTTAAAATTATAGCAGAAGTTGAGGAAATGAAAAAAATGACACATGTACTTCAATTACAATTAGATGCCTTTGAAAAGAATTGGAGTAATGGCTGGCTTTCTCGTCAACGACAACATAATTATTTATAATTGGACATTTACATAATTCTAGAGGTTTTGCATCATTGTGAAAATATGTTTGTCAGTCTTTTATTATATTTTATTTTATACTTATTTATTTATTAATTTATTTAGATGAGGTTACTTTAATATTTTTATACATGTTTATTATAGAGATATACATGTGTGGAATGGATGTATTTGCCTAAATATGTATGTATACATATGTATATTTATGTGTATATGTATTTTTTTTGTTTGTTTGTTTGTTTGTTTGTTCCCACTGGTTTTATGTTCATAAAAAATCAGTAAAAACGTTGGCGGAATAGCCTAGTGGTTAGCTCATCGATATATGGTGCAGTAGCATGTCAGGGTTTTCTGTGTTCGAATCCCGGCTCGGGGACAATTCCCTACACCCCTCTCTTTCTCCAACTTCACTTCCTGTCTAAATACTGTCCTATCTAATAAAGGCAAAAAAGGGCAGAATAAAAAAAATCAATAAAAACTACGTAAAAAAGAGGTTAGTACCAGTTGTCTCATGGGCTGTGCACAAATTTACGGTATATCTCCATGTAGCTTACATATATTGTGGGGAAAATAAGTATTGAACACATCACCATTTTTTCTTTTTAACATATTTCTAAAGGTGCCATTGACTTGAAATTTTCCTCTGATGTTGGTAACAACCAAAAAAATCTATATAAGCAAAGACAGCAAATCTAATTAGTTTACAAATTAAGTTATGTGTAATAAAATGAAATGACACAGGGAAAAAGCATTGATCACATGAAAAAAGGGAGGTGTAGAAAGGCAGTGAATGCCCAGACAGCAGCTGAAATCTCTCAGTAGTTATTCAGTAGTTCTGCCCTTCGTCATTGTAAATTAATATTAGCTGCTTCAGTCCAACATCTACATTAGCAGAATGATGAAACCAGAGTGGACATTTCAGCAAGACAATGATCCAAAACACAGCCGAGGAAACTCTCAAGTGCTTTCAGAGAAAGAAAATCAAGTTGTGGAATGGCCCAGCCAATCACCTGATTTAAATCCAATAGAGAATACAAATTAAAGATCAGATTTGATAGAAGAGACCCACTAAACAATCAAGATTTCGACACTGTTGAAGTCTGTGAAAAACTCACACCTGAGCAATCCATGTGACTTTATTCTTCATATGAGAAGCATCTTTAAGCTGCCATCACCAAAAAAGCCTTTTTACATAAAGTGTTAAAAACGCTTCAGTAGTTCAGTACTTTCTCCTTGTGTCATTTTATTGTTATTACACAACTCGTTTAGTACACACATAACTAAATATTGTAGCTCCATTGCGCTTTGTCCCGTGTTCAAGCTTCAGCTTACAGTCCTTCCTCAATCCTGCAGTGTCTCTCAAGCTTCACTTCTTGCCTTAATATTGAGCTATCCCAATAAAGAAAAATGCTAAAAATATATATATATTTTAGTGCAGACAGTTAAAGTGTGGTCCTTAGGTTTAAAACAGGGAGACTATCAAGTGTGTACTTTGACTTGAACAAAAGCATTTGCCAAATGTATAAATATTTCTTATTTGTGTTCAAAGCACAATTATTTGTGTTGCAGAATGTCCCTTTTACATTGTCATTGAGACTGCTGGATCCAACGCCACCCATGATGAAGAAAAGCTACATCAATTCCTTGAAGAAGTCATGACATCATCTCTGGTCACTGACGGGACAGTTGCGACAGAGGCAACAAAAATCAAGGCACTCTGCTCCCTTTTGTTGATGATCTAAATTCAAGCCATTTTTCCTGTGTGGTACTGAAGTTCTCATCTCACACACAGGCATTGTGGTCTTTGAGGGAGAGAGTCACAGAAGCTCTGACGCATGAAGGATACACCTACAAATATGACATCTCCCTTCCTGTGGAGAAGATCTATGATTTAGTCCAAGATATGAGGAGGCACCTTGGAGGCATGGCCAAGAATGTCGTCGGCTATGGACACGTTGGTATGCTTGGCTTTTTCTCATCTAATAATTGCTGGGCTATTTTGAGTTGATGATGAATGTGTTTGCCATCGGACCCAAATAAATGAGACTTTCTTTCATCACTGAAGTGAACTTTGGAGCAGATCCTTGTTCACGCAACATGCAAAAGTTAGTCTAGTCTTTTAATGAGAGGTTTGGCCACTGCAGGGCTTTCATTCCCAATTTTCTAAAACATTTAGTCAGTGTATTCAGAGATATTTCATTACAGTAGCAGGGTTTATATCATCCAGGATTAATGCAGATTTTGAAGTATTGCTTAAAAAAGAGAGATAGACAAATTTTGAATAAAAGTCCCTTCATTCAGAAAAAAAAACAGTGACAAAAGTTTTTAAAAAAAGTGGCGTAGGGAACATTACACTCGCGTGACCAATCAGCTGTCAGCATTATTTATTTATTTATTTATTTCATTTCATTTTATTTTGATAGAGTAGATGCAGCAAGTGTTTTTTTCCCACACCAATAAACTTTCAGTGAACACTGAATGTGACTTTTTTTCAATTTTATACTGTTCCTTTTACAGCAACAATCTTGTAATGTAATCAGTTGAATAAACTCAAGCATTTATCTAGTTGTTCAAGTGCGAAACGAGATGAAAAGTCGTTTACATACATGCGCAATTAGGATCAACAGGCTTGCGCAGAAACTCCAATGAAAATACTGGAGTAAAATAATTGTTCATATTTTAAAGACATGACACAGAAAATTTAAATTTAATGCAGTGCGTCTTGTACAATCTGAGACCTATTTTATATTGTATCTCAATCAGGTAGTGAAGATAATAATAATAATAAAAAAAGAAAACAGATCTTAAACAAGGCAACAAGACCGTTTGTAACAGCATACAGTTTACCAGAAGCGCTTCCAACCCTGCCCCAACACACTTACCTGTAGGTTTCAAACAAGCCTGAAGGACTCAATTAGTTTGATCAGGTGTGTTTAAAGAGGTTAACACCTAATTAGGTTAATTAGGGTTGGAACTAAACTGTGCAGAGCTTCGGCTTCCAGGAACTCAGTTTGACACCTGCTCTGTAAGGGCAATTCACACTAGGTATGAAAACTGTAATGATAGCTATTATGTTTTCATGAGCATTCTTATTCTATTAAGATTATAATAAAGTCTGCACTGATTCGTTTTTAAAATGTCGAACAATAAAATCATTGATAGTCTTCATTTAGAATCGATTAGGTTTTAACTTGACTTCATGGCAGACTTATAAACAGGCCTGTAGCCAGGGGGTTTGAGTGGTTCGAAAGACCTATCCCCCATTGATAAAGGTCCAGAATTTGCCATTGGTTCAGAATTTTTGCCGCTATTTTCTCATTTATGCTATTTTGACTGCTGTGCCATCATAAATTGTGAAAATAACCCATTGAAGGTTTTAAGACCACGTTATGGCGTTACTAGGTTACCAATACTACAGTCAGTTGCTCTAACTATTTGATGGCGATGCATTTGCAGTAAAAACTCAAAACATAAATTCACATAGAAAGTATGTTAACATTATAATGAAACATCTGTTTATATTGTCCAAACAAATGACCACAGAGTTAAGGGATCAGAAAAATATCAATATGTAAACATATTTTGTACTTTAAATGAGGAAAATAAGCATGCGTTATGAATGTGACTATATGTGAGTTTGCAGTATACAACATGCTTTGTAAAAATTCTGTGAATTAACTTATACAATCCAAAGAAAATAATGCTAATCAAAAAGATAAGAGTTAACTCGCTATAGAACAAACATGATTGATTTTCTTTTCTTTTATATTTCTGCATTTATGAGGTAAATGCTTTGTTATGGATGTGACATCCTTTCTGTTATAGATGTGACGGATGTGAAATTGTCATTTGTGTGACTTTGGTAAATCAAATATTATTGATTAAAAACATTGACAGCGACATTTTAAAGTATTTATAAAGTAAATAAAAGTAAGTAAACTTCTAAAGTAAAAATACAAGCCTACACAAAAACTTTTGTGTATTTTGGTGAAAACTTAAATTTTTTCAGGGCAAGGTTGACATTTGCATGGAATTGCTCATATATATACAATAACCAGCTTCTCTATGCCAACCTGTTGTTAGAAAGTCAATCAAAAATTTAAATTAAGTTTTTTTTTACTCATTCCAGTACCCTGAGACCTTTGTTCATCATAAGAACACAAATTAAGATAATTTAGATGAAATTCAAGAGCTCTCTGACCCTCCATATATGGCAACGGTCATGAGACGTTCAGAAAAGGAACCAAAAACATGAATCAGAACCAACTGCTGGACTCATGGTGGAGCAGTGGGTAGCACGATCGCCTCACAGTAAGCAGGTTGCTGATTCGAGCCCCAGCTCGGTCAGTTTGCATTTCTGTATGGAGTTTGCATGTTTTCCCGGTGTTCGTGTGGGTTTCCTCTGAGTGCTCCAGTTTTCCCCACAGTTCAAAGACATGCACTATAGGTGAATTGAGTAAGCTAAACTGTCCGTAGTGTATGTGTGTGAATGCAAGGGATGTTTCCCATTGTTGGGTTGTGGCTGGAGTGGCATCGCCTGCGTAAAACATATGCTGGATAAGCTGGATAATATGACTGGATAAGTTAATTCTGCTGTGCCGACCCCTGATTAATAAAGAGACTAAGCCAAAAAGAAATTGAAATGAGAACCAACTGTAATCAAAGCTCCAAGGACAATTTGTGTACAGTAAAAGTAACTCTGTTTTGCTAAAGTCTTCTCTTCTACGTCAGGTAAGAGTGTGTGTTTTCTACAGTAGTTGACACTAGTCATCCAAAGTCAAATTGTAGGGAGCTGAAATTGATGTTGAATATTGTGTTTCAGTCCATCCAGTTATCAAATGTGGCTTTCTTATTTTGTTTCAGGGGATGGAAATCTTCATTTAAACATCACTTCCCCCTCTAAAGACTTTGCTCTGCTGGCTGCCATTGAGCCATATGTGTATGAGTGGACGTCTCAGTGGAAAGGCAGCATCAGTGCAGAGCATGGGCTCGGTCTGAAGAAGAGAAACTACATCTACTACAGTAAACCCTCAGAGGCAGTCGCTCTCATGGGCAGCATTAAAGCCATGCTGGATCCTAAAGGCATCCTCAACCCTTACAAAACACTGCCAGACAACATAAACTAATGGTTTCATGGTGATCAGGATTTCTATGAAAATTAAGGATGTCAATTTACCACAGTATTATTGATGTAGTATGTTTAATGTATTAAATGGGCTATAATAGATTCCAAGTACTTAATTTGTACACAATTGTGTTTTAAAGCGACACTATGTAACCGTTGGTTGGTTACTTTATGAATAGTTTGTTTATGATCATCTAATCATCATAAATGGGATTAATGATACAAAACTCGCTTCAAATCAATATTAGCTAATGTTAAAATGACACAAAGTTTATACATAACATACAAAATGGTTGCTATTTATATCTGTTAAAGTAAAATGGTGAAACTAAAACTTTGCAATACTGTTTGTGGGCAACTAAAGCGAAGTAGCTGAGACTGGGGCTGTATCCAAAATCACCCCTATACCTTAGGTAATGCACTAATTAAGGGAGCTGCCATTTATTTGTCTAAAACAATAGCGGACGTTCTGAAGTGCCCTCAATCAATTCCACAATGCACAGAATAAATGTACAATCAATATACACTGTGCTTAATTCACTGCCCTATAGCCTACCTTCTGGAGTGACAGCTTTGAAGGGATGAAGGGTGCAGGGGTCAAAAAGGGTTATTTTTTGGAACACACTTCTGCATAACGAGAAGATCATCAAGGTGTGCCTTGTCTCACTTTTTATCTGCTGGTTGACTCTCACAAATACACTGAATGATTGTGCATGCACTTTAAATGTTTTTATTTATTTAACTTTAGAACGACCAGAACGACACTTTAAAATGGCGGCCATGATTGTTTTTTCACACTTAAGTGCCCTTCTGAGGGCAATATTTCCCGTTTGAAACACGCTGATACACTCAACGATATGGAAGCCCGTTTCCGCCACTGAATTAAAATAAAATAATAAAGTCAGAATTCCGATTAAAAAACATCAGAATGGCCAGTTAATTAAGAATTCTGAGTTATAAAGTCAGAATTGCGTGTTAAAAAGTCGCAATCCTGACAACTCGCACTTCTGACTTTATAACTAAATTTTGACTAAATAACTCAGAATTGCGACTTAAACAAATGAAGACAAAATTATAAAGTCAGAATTCTGAGATATTATTTTATTCAGTGGCGGGAACGGGTTTCCTTATAATGGTTTGAGTTCAGGCGTCGAATTAATTTCCGGTTTTCCGCGTCTGAACCAATGACTGTAAAAAATAACACGATGGCATCCGCAACGGAATTTTATCGCAAGTTTTTGAAAATATGTTTGTTAAATTAACGTTTAAATACATGACATACATCAGAATATTTGTTTAAGTACTCGCTGTTAACCGTCTCAGAGTCTGAATGAGAAGTTGAAATTGTAATCTGAGAGATTTATCAACCAGCAAACAACCATCCCTTCACGTTTTCACCCACACTTTTAAGTGAACACGTTTTATTAACAGGCATAATGTAATGACTGAGACTAGGGAATGAGTGCTGGAGGCGATTTAGGATACTGCATGGGATAGTTTGGCTGCTGTAAAAAAATCGTTTTATGAATCTAGCATAACGTTAACCAGTACAATAAAATTGTGATGTACGCAAACTGAGTGATTTATTTCAGGTGCGACGCTTACCCCGTTTTTGCCCACAAGTCTTATTAGGTTTGAGGTCAAGTTGTTGCTTCAAGTGACTTCATGATTAGTCCAAAACACAGTCTGAGAGAGTTTTTATAACATTCTCTCATGATTTCAATTTATAGTGTTAAGTTACATATAGTGTATCTTTCATGGTAACCCTGCTGAAAACAAAACAGCATAGACCTGACCAGCTAGACCAGCATATGAGCATCACAACATATGCAGTTTTTTCATCAGGGAAATTGTGTAATTTCTGTACCAAATTGAACTGTAAGCTTTTTATTTGCTTATACATATAAAATAATTGACTGTGGGATAAATTGAAATGCTACAAATATTTTTTTTAGACAAGAATAAAACCAGCATTCTTTAAATAAAAGCCCAGCATGAGATTTTATTAATTTTCATATCATGTAAATACACCGAATTGTGTCTAATAAATCATCAACAACAAAAAAGTTGCTAAATCCATTTAGACAATAAAAGTATATTTTGGTTAACAATGGCTGATGCCTTTTTACTGGCATAATTATACCCCCCTTCCCCTATGACATACAAATAAATGATCTGTCCATCGTGCAAAATGGAAAACAAATTGAATTCTTTTCCAATACAGAGCATCTGCAAAACTGGAAGAAAGCAATGGAACTACCAAGCTGATTTTTTAAAAGACAATTACAAAATGGGTCTACAATTGATCTTGCGTCTGTAGCAGAGTTGGCATTTACGTTCTCATTAGCTTGAGCTGGTGAACTTCCAGCTATAAAAGCACTGGGTATCGGAGAGAGGCTGCAGACCTCTTGTAAACATCAGCACAGATAAGAAGGTCATTTTCCAGCAGAGTCAGACAATGTGGAACCTTAACTAAGGCTTGATTTAGCTCATCTCCCTGTACAGGAAAACTCGAGACAGATGCATGACAATCCGCAACACGATTCTTGAAATTCTACGGTTAAAAAGAAAGCATCACCACAGCATGGACTAGCTTAAAGCACAAGGACATGACAGAAAAAAAAAACATTCCATTGATGTAACCGATGAAAAAAAGCAGATTTCCTTTTAATTCTTAACCGCGCATTCAGTATTCCAGTAACATCATACATAAGGTTTCTTCATTATAACATTCACAGTTCATAATGCAATAGCTGCTGTAGTCTTAATTCCTAACATCGCTCCCCAGGTCAACACAAACATGTAAACGTTTGGTTTTATAGGAGAGCAAAAGCGACCAGAAGTGAAAGTTGTAGTGTATCATGACCAATTTTTCCAAAATAAAAAAAATTAAATTCAAACAATTTCACTTAACCCAAACCATAAGCAACATACACAAGCCATTCGGTATACAACAATAGCATTTTCCTTTGTAAACCTCTTCCATCCTATATTAGAGTGTCACTTTTAAATAGTCAAAAAGCGTTTAAAGTTTTAAAAGCATCCGAATTCTCTCGGCTCATGGTGCGTGTTGAAAACTGTGATACAAAAAGTGTGAAAAAAGCATGAGGGTAAACAAATACGCAAATTCACAAAACCAGAGTCTATTTATGATCATGACTAGCTCTGTTAGTGTGCTGAGACGTCACCTTAAAAGCTCATAAGTAGGGTTTTGTACATGACAGCAAATAGTTCAGGCCCTACTGGACAGCGGCTGATTGTCATTGAACAAACATCAAGTACGCATGCCTGTGAGGGCAAAAATAAAGACAACAGCTACAAAAAAATAAAACAAAAAAGCACTACGGTGTGCTACAATGGCTTTTAGTCAGGCAGGCATAGAGGCAACAGGTCAGAAAGGCCTTGTGTCAAAGGGAAGCCCTCATAGGGTGCTATGAGAATGACCAGACTGCGAGTTCACCCAAACAAAAAAATATATATATTAAAAAAAAATGATTCTCTCATTATTTACTCATCATTCATGTCATTCCAAACAATATATGAACGGTTTTCGTTAATTTTTAGAGAGCATGCCACAATATGTGCTCACTGTATGGAAAAAGAGCAGCGTGAGCATTCTTTAAAACATCTTTTTCTGTGTTTTTCCCACTGAAAAAGTTATTTATTTTTGGAATTACATGATGACAGAATTTATTTTTTTTTTACCACTAGTTCAAAACCCAGGTCTGGTCACTAAACAGGCCTAATTAAAGAAAGAAGCCTGTTGATTCCTACTGTACATAGTGGCATTAAGCAACCAACCGGTTTTATGATAAGTCCACTATAGCAAAACTGTGACTAACTTTGCCTAACCTATCTACAAGAACTATCAGGACCTTTAAAAAGCTCAAAACCCACCATATGTCTAAAAGCAGGTGATGTTACAGCTATGAAGTTTTTCTGGTTATAACAAGAATCATGTGCACACACACACATTATGAGACTGATTGCATTTCAGCATGTGTGTATCCGTCCTTTTCATTTTTCTGAAAAGTACAAATCTTTAAAGTCTGCCAATGGTTAAATAGACAACGTGATGCTGTTAAAAAAATCCATGACAGAGGGTTTCTTCAAGGCCTGTCAGTGTGCGTCCACATATTTGATGGCGTCTCTGTCCTTTTTGTTGCTTCTTGAGGGTAAATGTGAGTTCCACCGGGTTCAGCGGGGGGAAAAATAAAATCCATAAAAGAGAGCGTAATTCTCTATAAAAAAGTTTTTAGGCCAATGAACAAGAAGAATAAAGCAAATAAACAGCATGTTAGAGTTGGGACAGATGCCAGCGATGGAATCCAATGGTTTGGTTACACACAGTGTCTGTATAATGAGCGGGTGAGCGGTCAGTAGTTCTGCAGCTCTCTCTCTCCTCAGCAGTCGGTTTTGCCCTTCTCCAGTGAACTGTGGATTTTATCCAGAGTCTTTTTGATGCGCAGGGCAGTGAGACGAGCCGAGGGGTTCTGGTACCAGCACTCTTTCATCAGCTTCACCAGAGCAGACAGGGTCTGTGAACACACACAAACATACCCATTTGTTTGCAGATCGAGAATCTTTGGCCCATATGCAAATGATTAGATTAGATGTCAGTGTGGGGTTTTTAATATTCTTAAAAAGAAAATGGGCAAATTCATCGGTCAACAGAATTAAAACTGCAGTGTACAAATACATTGTTGAAGATGTGCTTTGAAATGTGTTACAATTGTCAACTTGCAAGCTGGGGCTCATGTTATTTTTCACTTCAGAGATGTAGGTAGCCATCTAAAATGGCCAATGTGAAAATGTGTAACATTACACAGGGTTCCCACTTTTACGGACACAAGATTGAAGCACTTTTTAAAGCACCATTAATTTAAAATCAAGCAGCTCTGTTATTCATATCCCAGCATAAGCAGTGTCAATAAAGTCCTTACTGTAATCAACATTTAATATTTACATTATAAATGTAACAATATGAGTAATTGTCAAAAGATTTAGACAATTTTAAGGTTTGTGAATAATTGATCAATTGTGCATTATTTGTCATTGTTATTATACAATATTTAAATGTAAGATTTTTAAATTGAGATTTTTTTTCAACAATACAATTGTTGAAATAGCATCCAAATGTTTTTCCCCAAACTTAAATTTAAGTACTTTTAAAGACCCATGTCTGTTTTTATCTTTTCTAGGCATTGAATCCATATGCCTAAGATTCAAATACTTTCAAGCACTTTCAAGAAGTGTGGGAACCCTGACACAATATTGGCCCGTTTCCACTGAGTGGTAAGGTACGGTACGCTATATTAGTAGTTTCCATTATCAAAAGATACCTAAATCGTACTGTAGCAGTTTTTGTGTACCCTTTCCAAAGGGTATCAGTCAAAAAGGCAGAGCTAGACCCGCAGCTGAACACAGAGAAGGGACACTAGCGTACACAAGCCAGGAAAATGAAAACAAAGGATGAAGTATTTTTAAATTCACAGCCGAGACATTACATCGTAATAATATATACATATAATAATGAGCCATTGTAGACCCGGGATCAAACAAAACTTGTCGTTGTTTTGATGAACAGCTACAAAGCCAAGCCAAGAAGAACAAAAGCTGCCGTGTTGTTTTACGAGGGTGTCTAAAAGCATGAGCGGTTTCACTTTCTTGAGAGAGAGAGAGAGAGCTCAACGCAAATCTATATTTGAAATAACTAACTTCTTGAGCTGACGATAATAACATGCACGTGATTATTGAAGTGCTTCAGACATCCAATCCTTTCAGAAACAGACAAACGCAAGAGTGCCGCGGGAAAAAAAACCTATGGAAAAAACAAAAGAGAAGCCCAGCAGAAGGAGCAAATGATTTTTTTCAGCAACCTAATCCATGAACAATCTGCCATGTTTAAATATTATCATCACCTTTTGCACTATTATTAAGTGACGGAATAATTTTCTAACAAGAGATTACATATGCTGGTAAAGATTAAAGATACAGAGGCGAGGTTTGCACTGACTGGGTTATATGTTGCATGTTGTTTTTGAACTCAAATAAGGGCTAAATGTATGCTGGGTGTAGTTTTTCTGTAATTAGTAACATATCGGAGACTGTAAGGGGCTGTATGCGTTCATTTATGTTGCATTTATTTATTTATTATATAATTGCAGACGTTACAGCAAGCTATTTCGCACTGTCATTGATCTGCAGTTATAATCAAATCGTGTTCATAAAAAGGTTGGTAATGAACATTTATACGCAAGTATTTGTTTGTATAAAGCATCTGTGTTGTGAGAAGTGATTCCCATATGATTTGTAAACGAACCGTACAGTTTTGCTTTGACTTTTCCTTGAAAAGAATGGCATCAACTGAAACTTTCTGTCATACACCACCATGCAAAACCTTTGTTTTACAGTCTGCTATCAGCTAGATTTGTTTAGCATTTCTGTAGGGGAACAGAAGTTAGCATAACACTGGTTCCTTAGAAAAACAACAGATTTTTTTTCTATTGGTTAAATTATTAAAGGAGTAAGTATTACAACTTTAAAATTCTTGTGCTATTTGTTCATCAACTTAGACCTTATTGACTTTGAAGCCTAAACACATGTAAGTGGAAGTTAAAAGCTAAACTTATAAGCCAGCCATTATCAATCTACATTGTGGTCACATGATGATAACAACCAAGAAAACAACTAATTTTTTAACAGTACTTACAGGATCTGAAAACCAGCGGTTGGGAATGAATGGCCTTTGCTGCTCCACACAAACCACTTTCCTCATGTCGTCAAAGCTGGGATCATTAGGAACCAGGTCATAGAAAGGCGGCTTGTATTCCTCTACAATTCCTACAGGATCCAGAATGAAAAAAGTCAGTGAACAAAGATGGAAAACTCTCTGATCTACATTATAATTAGATGCTGACACAGCACTTCAATCAAAATGGAACATTTCTAAATGTAGTCTAGCAAACTGACCATTGCTGATGGTTCTGCGTGCGATCTCCCACAGCACCAACCCAAAGGCCCAGATATCCACCCTCTTATAGGCGTCAAAACAGTCCGTCTGAATGGTCTCATCTAGAACCTCCGGTGCCATGTAGCGTTTGGTTCCCACTTTAGGATTATTTCCCACATCAAGCTGATTATCAGACTGCGTGTGTGTTACTGCCAGACCTACAGAGATACAAGGTGGAGGGAAAGTACATGTATGAAATCATGTAAAACTACACCCACTGATCACTTTATATGTTACAGCCATTCATCTCATTAAAGGTCCAGTGAAGTGCTTTAAAAAAAAGGGATTTTTTTTATTCGATGTTTGATGATTTCAAAAAAAAAAAAAAAAAAGAGAGGGTGGGAGAGTAGCTTAAAAAAAACATCCAGTGTTTTGGACCACAGTTCTGCCAAATCACAGCTCTGCCAGTGAGAGTGGTTGAGATCAAGCACATCAAATGAATAGCAAATGAGAAGCGTCTTGAAGGGGGCGGGCCATGTTAGATTCTAGACAGCATTTGATTGGTAAAGATTTGATGAGACACTGAAGTATGAGGCGACATGGAAAAAAAAGGCAGCAGTAACAAATTGCAAATTTGAGATGTTTGCATTTTCTAAATGTGATTTTTACCACTGTTTTGGAGCACATTAGATTATAGATATCATTTGGCAGCAATTGGCATGTTGGTTTGTGCAATATAGGCTGATCAAAGTATTTTAGAAATTGCTTATTTACTGGGATTTTTACAAACAAACATCTCTTTGGTTTACAGAGAACGATCAGAAAAAACAACAATTCTGTGGATGAAAGCAGTAAATCTAAATGGAAAACTGTTGAACTAAAACTGTTGAAGCTAAAGGTAAGAGGAAAATGACCAGCTTGGTTCAAACTGACAGAAAGGCAACTTTAAATTGAATAACTTGAATGCAGAAGAGCATCTCTGAATTTGAAACACACCAAACCTTGAAGCAGAAGAGCTACAGCAGCAGAAGGCCATACTGGTGCCACTTTTCTAAATATATTTATTTTATTATTTTATAATAAAAATAATAATATAAATATGATTTTTTTAGTTCTCAATCACTAATTATCAATTTAGTGTCCCAATTTCTGCTGCAATATACAGATGGCACCAATCGATACTGATATTTTAAAAACGTCCATTTCCTGTTAATATTTGAGCTCTGTTTAGCGCATTCTTAAACAGCGCTGAAATGACAGAATCACAGAACTCACCGCTATTTACTGAGTGTAACCACAGCGGTGAGTTCAGTGAACTGATGACCTTCACGGCCAATCACAGTCATTTTTGTTGAGCATGTGAACACAATTGGAAATCAGCGCTGTTTAAGAACACTCTCAAGAGTGCTCAAATGTTAGCGGGAAATGTTTGTTTTAAAGTTTCAGTATCGATTGGTACTAAATTCCAGTATCGTGACAACACAGGTGAGTGGGCTTGACAAACCACACACAGAAAACACACTTTCATCTGTTTCTTCAACTGACACTTGCACCAGTTTTTGCACCAGAGCCGTTCTTACAATGACTCCATTTCTCTCTAAAAACAAAAACGTGCATTTATGAAGCAAGCTTTACACAGGTGAGTGGGCGTGATAAACCACCTGTAGAAACACTCTTTTCTCTATGAAAGAACACTCCCCTCTCTTTACTCTAGCACTTAATGAAACAGTTCCTTGGTACATTTAAAACTACTTGTGTGTATTGCCTCTTCTTGTTAAATCGCTGGTTCCCTGTAATTTGCTTTAAACAAAAAAGCAGTTTAGGACTGACCCATTTGTAAAATTTCATATTGCTAGATCAAATGGTTTTGTCCTGTACAAGCAGCTTTCAATATTAGATAAACAAAAAACAGGGCATGACAGAATTTACCCAGGTCAGCGATGCAGCACTGCAAATCTTTCTTCACAAGGATGTTCTTGCTCTTCAGGTCTCTGTGAGCGATGGCCGGTTTGCCCTCCGTGCCAAAGATCTCCGTGTGCAGGTGCACCAGCCCGCTGGCAATCGAAGCCGCCATGTGCAGTCCATCTGCCATCTCCACAGCCACACGCTGCAGGTAGTCATACAGAGAGCCATTCTCGTGATAGTGTGTGATCAGCCACAGCTGAGTGCTAGAGTTTCGGGAGGTCATGTCAGAAGCCATGAAGCCTGCAAAGAAAAAGAGTTGAAAATAACATTAGCCACAATGCTTTGCAGTGGCTATTTATTTGGCCTAAATAATTAGCTCAGTCCAAAATGATAATTCTGTTATTAATTCATTCATCCATTCATTTTTCTTTGGCTTAGTCTCTTTATTAATCAGGGGTCGCCACAGCGGAATTATCCAGCATGTTTTGCAGCACTAATGCCCTTCCAGCTGCAACCCAGTACTAGAACACACACACACACACACACACAGACACACACACAGACACACACACAGACACACACACAGACACGCACGCACGCACGCACGCACGCACGCACGCACGCACGCACGCACGCACGCACACACGCACACACACACACACACACACACACACACACACACACACACACACACACACACACACACACACAATGGTCAATTTAGTTTATTCAATTTTATAGCGCATGTCTTTCGACTGGGGGGAAACCGAAGCACCCAGAGAAAACCCACAGCAACACGGAGAACATGCGAACCCCACAAAGAAATGCCAACTGGCCCAGCCGGGACACAAACCAGCGACCTTCTTGCTGTGAGTGCTAACCAATGAGCCAGCATGTCACCCCAATTCTGTTATTAATTACTCATCCTAATGTCATTCGAATCACATGAAAGCTTTAATAATTTTCAGAACACAAATCAAGATATTTTAGATGAAATCCAAGAGCTCCCTGACTTTCCAGAGACAGCAAGAGTTCAGAGTCCAGAAAAGAAACCCAAAATTACCAAGTGACAACTGTAATCATATAAAGCTCCATGAACACTTTGTGCACCAAAAAAAAAAAAAAATAAAAAAATAAAAAAATAAAAAAAATAAACTGTAAAAGCTAGTTTACACTCCAATATTTTTGTTTTCCTTTCACACAGTGATAGCGGTAAATATCCGGAAAATTACCAGAATGACTTTACCGGTAAATGAAAAAAAAAAACACTGTTCACACGCAAGATCGTTCTGGAATTTTTCTGGAAAAGACCATTCACACATCCATTCCAAAATACCGGTTCATTCTGACATCATTAACCAGAAATGAGCTCTAAACGGCTGCACTTTCATTTGTAAACCTAGAAGGGCTTTTGTTTTGGCTTTTGTAGTACATAATATGTGTGTGTGTTGGTGCTCACCGGCTGCTTCACGTGCACACGCGTCAAGTATCAGAGGTAAACAAACAGCGGTTCATCATAAGCATTTTATCGATTATTTTTTTCACAGTTGGCAAGAAGAAGGAACATAGTAACATAATCTGACTAACGTCTAGCAGCTAAATGTGTCTGGAAAAATATTCAAAGGCTTTTATTTTCATAAACCACGTGGATGTGAATGATATAAATGTTCTCATTGGTTGGAGTAGACGTCTCACGTCAGCGCTCTAATCGTAAACGCGCTCTTTCCGGCAATTTTCCTTCTGAGTTCCAACAGAGAGCATTCTGTGAAATTACCGATAATGTTACAACTTCTCTTTCCGGAAAATTGCCGGGACGAATTTACCGGTATTTTCAAAAAGGGCCTGTTCACAGGTGATCCCTTTCCGGAAAATTGCGGGTAATTTTCTGTAAAGGTCTGTATGTGTGAAAATTGCTAATATTTGTGGTTCCCTTCTAGACTTTGATTGTCTCGTAACCCTTGCTTCCTATGAAGGGTCAGAGAGCGTTAGGATTTCATCTAAAAAGGGCTGCATGATACTTGAAATATATGAAATCCGATATTGTTGAGGTTTTCGATAACAATAATTCTTATAAAATAGGTAACTTTTTAAAAAGGCTATTTTATTAGCAGTTAAAAAAATAATTTATGCAAGGATCATACTAAAATACACAAGCAATAGATATTTTTCTGAGCTAATTAAACACTATGAATGACAGAAAACCTTGGTGGAAATTCTGATTCTTATTGGCTGTTGTCTTTTTCTTCTTCTGGCATTAGCATTTATTTTCAGCTCTAGGTTCACCTACCAGAAGAGGCAGGGATAAAGATAGTAAAAGTCCCATCTGATTGGTTAGATTTAAATAAACAACATATGCATGCAGCACACAAATGCTAAGCACATAAAATTCATTTTAAATATTGCACTTTTCTGTGATATAGATACTGCATATGCTAATATCGCGATAACAATATTTTCTTAATATAGAGTGCTTCCTTAATCTAAAATATTGTTTGTTCTGAAGATGAATTAATGTCTTAGTGGTTGGAAACGACATGAGAGTGAGTAATTATATACATATTTATATATACAAAACAAAATAACAAAATGTGCATTTTGGTGTGGGATAATCCTTTTAAGATGTCATTTTATTGTTATGATGTGGAAACCAATAAGATGCTTATTTACCTAATATATTTTCATGTCGTAGCAGAACAGTGTTGTAAATTTCTGTTTCTCGAAACCATGACTTCTCATCTCTAGAGGAAAAGATCTTCACGGCTACATTTTCTCCTTGCCATTGACCTCTCCACACTTCACCGTACCGTCCTTTACCTGAGAACACATACAAAAAAGACATTTTTTGTCGACATCACTTACATAAGGTCTAAAAAAAGGGTTTCCGTTTATCCACTTGTCGAGTCTGACGTACTTCCAATGCCAAAATCTCAGATAGCCAGACGGTGATTAATATTTTAGGTATTCTGAAAATATTGGTGCTCAGGAGGATGCTGTGAACATGAAGAATGAAGTGTACACCACTAGTTTTTAAAAGTTTAGCTTAAATGTGTAATATGAACAAATAGTGCCCATAAATGTTTTAAACGGAAACAAGGCAGTGTTCCATGAGACCCTAAAATATCTCTAGTGACATGTTTTGTGTAGTCTTCCGTGTAAATCCTACGGTTTGTCTTACCAACACACTCCACCAGGCTGATCTGCCGCGCAACCGTTCTCTGAACCAGGAAGGGCAGTCCTGAACCACTGCCTGAAGTGCAGGAGTGATCCATCAGATCCTAGGAAACCATACATATTAGTTACCATCTAACATCAATGAATAAATAACTTCAGTTAAAAAAAGAATTGGTGTGGGGCTGGTTACGTATATTGCTAAACTTTCTTAGAGGTAACTCTGATACAAGTTTTATTCATGGAGATAATTAAAAAACACTGCAGTGTTCTGTGTTTGTCTTAGACAATTAGTCTACCGAAATGTGTATATTCCCTACAAGCTGAAGCTGATTGGTCAGTTCTTGTTATGTGACTTGCGGTGTGCTCGCAGTTTGCATTCAACTGGGTGCGTATGGAAGGCATGAGTGCGTCCCGCCACTGGAAATAACAAATCTTGACGGGAAAAAATGCAATATGTGAACGACCCCTTAAAGGCCGCCATAATTTGTGATCTTCAGCAGTTGATCTTCTTGCATTGTCATGGTAAATTCGCCTGATTTGTTGACAAACGAGTTGTGGATCTAATCCTTGGCAGTTCGTGGATCCTTCACTTGGCCTTTTCCCCTTGGCAAAGAAACTTTCCAAAGATGTCTGTTTCTTACTCATTTTGCTAGCTTGTGGGTTCAATTTGGGCGCTCAAATGATCGAGATGTAAGCAAGAGAATAAGATTATTTTTCAAAATAAAAGATTTTTCAAAATAAAAGATCGTTCAGATGCAAATAATTAAAGATTTCTTGTGAGGCCCTGCACCAATTGATTACTCTGCGGTTGGGGACCACTGGTTTAGATGATTTCTGAAAGATCATGATAACACTGAAGACTGGAGAAAAGACGTTGAAAAAAACAGATTTACCATTTAATGAAAAAAAAAATCACATAAAAAATGTAATAAAATGTAAAAATGTATTTTAATGATATTTCACAATTTTACAATTTTGAATTATATTTTGTCAAATAATTGTATATATGGGTGACACTGGAGAACATTTTTAAAATGTTATTTATACCACAAAAAGTGGTAAAACGTCCACAAAATACCCAATTATTAGTATTATAAAAAACAATTAATGTAACATAGTCTATAGAAATTTAGCATCAATGAATGACTAACTTCAGCTAAAATAACAACCCCCCCATAACTTCATATATTAATTATAATATAAATGTGATAAAACATCCATAAGACCTGATATTTGTATTATAAAAGAAATTATGTAGTTTATAGAAATCTACCGTCAATAAATGAATAACTTGAGCTAAAAAAATAAGTTCATATAATAATAATAATAATAATATATAAAAGTGATAAAACATACAAAACAAAAGATTATAAAATGAAATTATGAAATACTAAACAATTCATGTAGTCTATAGAAATACAATACCGCAAGTGTGCTGTCTCCGACATTAGACGCGATAAGCCCATCGATGGCCCCCTGTTCAGTGTCAAACTCGTGCAGTCTCTCCAGACGCCCATGATGGAGTCGACGGCACACCAGCAAAGCCAGAAAAGACAGCAGACCCAGAACCACAAACGGCCCCAACACAAACAGAACCAACATTTCCACGCGGTAATGAACAGTCTTCTTTTCTTCTGGACCTTTTCAGAAACACAGTACAAATCAAAAACATTCACAAAATGATAGCAACAGACAAAAAGGGGTATAAATAATTTGTGTTTTAGAATTCTAAATGTAACCAAACAAAAAGCAAAAAATATAAAAGACATAACTGATAATTCTATAATGGTAGCACAGCATTTTAGAAACAGTTTCACATGTATAGCATGTACTTATTATTATGGTCATTGCATAAACAGGGTAATAACGAAGACTGTAGAATACACAAGACATGTCACTCGTATAGTTTGAATGGGGAAAAGTGTAATGGTCAATTTGGCCAATGAACCTCGCCTACTAGTACAGCAGCCAATTATCGTTAGCTATAGACTGACAATCCTCCAGGGGATAACCTCGAACCAGACCTGTGCTTTTATGACAGGAAACAAACACTGGAATCTCAGTGAATACTTGCTTCACAGACATAAGTATATTCCCATAGAGCTTGAAATCTGTACCTTTTAATGAATCAACTGCACTTGAAAACAAAAGTTTTCTGGTTTTGTCCTTTCAAGCATACATCACACGACAGCAACTACTCAAATACCCAAAAAAAAAACAAAAAAAAAAAACGCTGTCATTTCTGGAGAACATTCACCATAAGGACCAAGTTGTGAATTACTGCTGAAGACCAGAGTGATCTGATGAAGCATTATTCAGAGGATGATAATGTGTAACACGACCATAAATGAAGTTGCTGTTGTGATCTCGTTGCTTTGGGGTGCACTTGCACATTATATCAACAAAAAAAAAAAAAACTGATTTTGAAACTTATGAGAGTCATTTAATTTTATTGGTGATTCCAAATATGTAATCTCATTCGTAAGCTTGTTTTGGAGAATTTGATGTTTCCCCAGTCAGACAGAATGCTCTGGCGTTTCAAAGATGGCCGTCGAGTGAAATGACTTGTCTTCAGGCTGATTTATACTTCTGCGTCAAACACCGGCGTATGCTACGGCGCTGATGCATAGCCCTTCGCCGTGGCCATCGCCGTCACTGACATGCACCTCTCAAAAATTGTAACTACACGTCGCAAAGACGCGTAGCGTAAGCTCTGTGATTGGTCGGCTTGGTAGCGCTGACGAGTCTGGGCGGGACCGAGAGCCGCGCGAATGGCGCGAGCGATTGTTTACAAGTGTGGAGTCCCGTGAAGGAGCTCTGGATAGAAAGTTTTGTTTTGTGTTAACCTCATAGTTAAAGTTGTTGCACATCCGCCGGTTCCTGCCTCAAAATGAGCGAGTTTGAGTCACTTGTATAACCAGGAAGTGTTCAGGAAACGCAAAACAGAAGCGAAGAAACTCGACACAGAGGAACATTTACACATCACTGCCAACTAGCGTTTCGGAAGAGTTATTGCAGACCTACAGAGACAGCGCGTAGAAGTATAAATGCACAGCTGCGCGCGTTGCCTGCGCCGTGAGTTACGCCGGTCACTTGACGCAGAAGTATAAACCAGGCTTTAAAGGGACTTTGGTTATAATAAGGTAATCTCTCTAAACCTAGTCCTGAACCTAAAGGTAATTACCTAATATAGCCCAGAACTCCAAATCAAGTACAATATAAGCTCTAAATACACATACTGTAAAATAAAATGCAACCAATATAAATAATAAAAAGAAAAAACAATGGTTTGAAATTATGGTTTTAAGTTTAAGTATTGTTTAAATTATTGTTTTAACTTTACAAAACATTTACCATACAAAAATACAAATTACTATACAAAAACTTATATACAAATACACATGGTCAAGCTTAAAATTATTAATTCCCTCTGAATTAAAGTTACTTTTATTCAACTGGTAAGTTTTTTTGAAATTATATAGATAAAAGAAATATAAATAAAAAACCTGACATTAAAGCAGATAAATTAATAAAAAATATTATAATTATTATTTTTTTAAATGTATCAAGTCTTGTAAATGTTAAATGTTTGAAAAATCACATCTGCAATGAACAATAATATTTAAAATCAATATCAATTTGAAAAGCTGCAAAGACTTTTTTTTGGAAAGAATTTTGTCTGGATATCCTTAATCTTGATCTCCGTTTACACAACAGTACTTCTGGAAAGCTCCAGATGTCGATTCTCCTGCCAGTTACAGATTAAAAGTCTTACTTGTGAGCAGCAGTCGAAGTAGGGTCTCTTTGGAGACGTTGGCGTTGCACATGTGTTGAGAACAGCATTCTACCACATGACTAGCAGAAGCTGTTGCGGAGCAGGTCATGCGCTTGCTCGCCGGCCCGATCAAGCAGCCCCGCTTGAACGTCGTCACATCATTGCTAATGATAACGGAGGTGTAACACTGGTCACCAGTACACTGCTGCTCATTACAGTCACTGCCGACACACATGCAGTCAATGGAGACATCTGGAGAGAGACAGAAAACCAGAGAGTTAAATCATGAATTAAAGAAAGAGGAACTCGTCTGTAGCCATTTGTCAGTTGTCACCAGCTAAAAAATCTCTGGGAACAATGAAATTAATTAAGGAAGACCAGCGTGACGCCAGTCCTTGCAGACGAGACTCTTTCTAAGCCTGATAACTCAGGCTGTTTTCTTCCCTTCTCCCTGCCTTCATTTCCTGTGACACTGAACTCTGTCAGCTTTACAAATTGACTACACAGGATAAGAGCCAGGGAGCATCAGTGACACAGATCAATTAACCCGGCATTCATGTTTTATGCTCTCTATGAGACACGCTAACAGAGCCTGAGAGAAAAGCACAACCAAAACTAGCTACACCAATCCTACTGCACTGAAAGTTTTTTTAGCTGCATCTTAGTGGCTGGCCTGCATAGAATAGGCATTTACATTGGCACCAATGTGCACAAACAATTAACAGTTCAGTAATAAAGGAATTTTGTCCAAAAGATGAGTAAAATATTAAGGAACCAAATGTGGGAAGTTTGTGAACTATGCAGTGTTTAAATGTTACGGGGTACTTTTTTTTTTTTGCTCTAATTTTTTTTTTACATCTCTCCTGAACGGTTGATTTTTACCATTTAAAAAAAAAATCCATTTAGCCCATCTTCCAGTTCGACGGGAGCACTTTTAGCTTAGCATCATTCCCTGAATCGGATTCGACCATTAGCATCTCGCTCAAAAAGAAATTCGATAGTTCTCCAATTTAAGGCTTGACTCTTCTGTAGTTATATTATGTGCTAAGACTTGAATTGCCAATTGTGTATTAAATATGCTAAATATAAATAAACTTGCCTTGCCTTGAAAGACCGACTTAAAACGAAAAAGTTGCCATTTTTTGGACTGATGTGGCTAGGAACTATACACTCTTTCCTGCATAATAACCAAGGAACTTAGCTGCCGTACCATGGCGTCAGTAAGCACAATAATATTACAAAGGAAATCTGCTGAATTCTTTCAATATAACCAACGTGACCATCTGCTTGCCAGTTACCTCGCTTGAAACAATTTTCAAGTGCTGCATAATATCACAAGTATTTTTTGACTGATAAACACATGGTCGAATTTGATTCAATGAACAACGCTAAGCTAAGTTAAAAACGCTCTGCCAAACCAAAGATCAGCTGAATAGATTGAAAAATGTTAAAACTCATCGGTTTAATTCCAGGGAAGAGTTGCAAAATAAGTCTACTTTTAAAAAAAATACAGTGTAACTTTAATGAACCAAGGTTAACAAGATAGTACATCTTTAAAGCACAAGCTCAGTTTGAGAAATTTAGTAACAAGATATTCTGCTTTGAAAATGTGTTTGTTTTGGTAATTTTAACCTGCCCAATGCCAGTTTAGCAAACTATATTTCAGCACCTCGGGTTGCCTTGGTGGAAAACCTTGTATTTCATTCATTCATTCGCTCGTCCAGAAAGGCTCTGAAAGAATGCTCCCGTAACCGAAATGTGACCTCAGGTGGACAGTAGCAGACTCCGAAATGCAGATTCCACATGAGGTTATTAATTAGCAAATAACATAAATATTATGAACATCAACATTGGGTGTACATTGTAACCTCATGTCCAAACAACACGCTATGTGACAAGATTTGCAGTAATAAACAACTTGGCTGTTTGCACCAGACTAAACACACAGGAATTTAAATACAGCCATTCAGAAGCACAGAATATGCAGTCACTCACGAAATGGTAAGGTTTATAATCTAATTAATACATATTAAACCTCTTTAACATTATTAAATGTAGTTTCTGAATCACTGATGTGTGTTTAGTTCTAACAATGAATTTCTAACCGTTTATTTTATTTTTAAGATCTGAGGTGAACTATCTACTGCTGATTTCAGTTGTATGGCAATAAATGTCATGCAAATCGGCATTCAAACTCACATTGGTAGCATTTAACACTGAATAAAGCATGTGAGGTTTACCTGAGGTGATCATTTTTAGGTTCTGTTGTTCACCTGTGAGAAATTAAAGCTGTTTCTAATATATCAATTCGAGGTGTTGGTAAAGAGAAAAACTCATTTTAATACGGAAAATATTCCATCATTTAGGTGCTGTTGCTTTTATTTAGAAAACGGTTTAAATCACTCGCTCCTGTCCTCAATCTAGCAACCTGCACTTCCGTTCGTTTTGATCCAGAAGTGCAATACCTAGTTTAACCACTGGGTGTCAAACTTACATGCTGCACCTTTAAAAAACCTCCCACATTCTTTATTAACTGCAAACAGCGTAGCACAAATATACTTAATTATTAAACTTCAAGTTTACTCTTGCTTCCCCTGTGCAGGGTGTAGAGAGTAGTGAACACTATTTATGAACATGTTGATTGGAAAACTTCTTGCAGCTGAATATATATATCAGGTGTGTTAAACATGAGTGATGCTAAATAAATAATGTTTAATGGTTCAAGGATTGAGAACTGCTGACAAAACAATTTTTTATGTTCATCAAAGCTACAATTATTTTAGGAAAAATCATGTTCAAAAAATAAATAAATAAATAAACTATATATATAAATCTGAATTTCAATCAAGAGCCTTCTGATTCATTACATTTCAGGAATTAAGAAGTCGTTTGGTGCTCAGGAAATATTTTTATTATCAATGTCAATTTTTCTAAACGTGGTAGTTTGTAGATTTTATTTTCAAGATGCTTTGATAAGTTCTAAATAACAGAATTCATTTGAAATACGTGTATAACATTACATATGTAATATGAAATAAAAATAAATAGCCTTAATTAATAATAATAAAATCTTTACCTTTAGCTGATGTCTGTAAGAACTGAAGCAGGAACAGGATGATGATTTGGGTGCTGCAATGCCCCATTTGGTTCAATGCACTGAAAAGAAATTGAGGTGTTACAAAACTCAAATTTTAGCCAAGATACACGCATCACCTGCCTAGATTACATAAAAGTTGTGCAAAACAGTAGGACAGGATCAATCCCCCGAAGAAAAAAAACAGGACAGCAAAAATGACAACTTAATTACATTTTTAGAGAGTGCAGCTGTGCTCTGCCTCTTTCTTTCTCACTCCTGCCACAAATACTTCCGCACACACAGCATGAGTGTGTCTGTGTGTGTGTGTGTTTGAGAGGGGGCCGTTTCTGTGGCAACCGAGGAGAGAGAGAGATGCCCATTATGGAGCAACATCAAACACAAGGAGAGGAGCACTTTCGGAGAGGCAGAAAGAAACACATTTTGGGAGTGTCAAACTCACCATTGTGGTGTAAAATTCAAGAACACAACTCAGGAGGACACTATGACTAATTGTAGATTAAATTCTCGAAAATGTGTGGCATTATTTTATCCGAAAAACAATAAAGTTAACAGTCTTACTTGTACAACTCCTCAAGTGACTCTCAGCACTGCCTTTCAGTATTCGCACAGCCAGACTCTGTCTTCCCATTGGATCCTAAAAAGTCCAGAAGCAAAGATGCATCTTAAGCCGTTTCCACAGACACGCTTTCCTCATGGTCATTTCTTCAGGACAGCGAGTGACAGGATAAGAATGGTGCCTGGAAGTCTCTAAACACTGATAGTCTGAGAGCTGGACAGACTTAACGCCTTTATTCCGTTCTGCTGCTCTTTATATTAAAGTTAGGGTTATAGAAACACAAAAAAGTCCCACAAATTATGGTTGTGCTTTATTTTTTATTTTCAGAAATTCAGATGATCTAACTCGCTTGTCTTTGCTTTAATGAGAGCAGCATCTTGTGCTTGTGGAATTAAGAACATCTGACTGTACAAAATAGTTGGCATGAGAAATGTAAAAACTTAACACTGAAATAAATAAAATTCATAAAAATGAATAAATGACATCTGAACAAGAAAACAAATAAACAAACTTTATATAGTAACATTTATTTTAAATGTTTCCCCATTGTCAAGGTTTAATTATGTTTCATAAATACCACTTACATCCCATAATAAATAAATAGTATCAACATTAATAAATAATAATACATTAGAATTTGAGAAATAAGAATTTGATAAACATAGTCTGGATGCAATTACAATCAGCAGTGGTTTTCAATCTCCAGGGGCCCCACAGAAATGTTCTTACAAAAAGCATTAAAAAAAACTCAAAAATGCAATAAATGCACTGAATAATAATAATTATCAAATAAAAATAAGGGCTTCACGATAGCGCAGTGGATAGCACAATCTCCTCACAGCAAGAAGGTCGCTGGTTCGAGCCTCGGCTGGGTCAGCTGGCATTTCTGTGTGGAGTTTGCATGTACTTTTTCTGTTCAAGTAGGCTTCACCCGCAGTCCAAAGACAAGTGGTACAGGTGAATTGGGTAAGTTAAATTGCCCATAGTGACTGTGTGTAAATGAGAGTGTATGGATGTTTCCCAGTGAAGGCTTGCAGCTGGAAGGGCATCCGCTGCATTAAACATATGCTAGATAAGTTGGCGGTTCATTCTGCTATGGCGACCCCGGATTAATAAAGGGACTAAGCCGAAAAAGGAAATGAATGAAAGAATAAAACTTATTAGAAACTAAACATTTTTCAGAAGTATTAGACACATTACATATCGCAAGTTTATTGAGGTTAAGTTGGTTTTATATTCGTAGATTCTTTCAGAGACAACTTCTGACATCTTTATTTTTTGTAAAATGGTACTTTAAATATTGGGTCTGAAATCACATTTAAGTATGACTTCAAAACAACATTAGCACTTTTTAATTGACTTCAACAATATTGTACTTTGATAGTCATTTACTGCTAACATAATTTCCTTGTTTTGAATTTGTAAATAATACTTTTCTGAAATGTTATTAAGAAGAAAGTCTGAATGTGCAAATATATTACCACCTTACCTCAATCGTAAGATACATGTACAAGATACGCTTTAGCCAATGAAATAAGGTTAGCGTTGAACTGCATACCAATAATAATATAAAGCGTAATTAAATGGGGTTCATTTAATAACTTTATTAACAGAAAAACGCTTTTGTGACTATTCCAGAACTGCCAATCATAGTGAATGAAGTATAGTTAGTTTTATATTCGTACATTCGTTTAGCGACAATTTCTGATATGCTCCCTTTATTTTTTGTACCATGGTAACGTTACTTTAAATATTTAGTCTGAAATCGCAATTATGTATGACTTCAACAATAATGTACTTTGATAGCCATTGGCTGCTAATATGATTTCCCTGTTTAGAATTTGTAAATAATACTTTTTCTGAAATGATATTATTAAAGAGAAAGTTTGAATGTGCGAATATAAAACCAACTTTAACTCAATCGTAAGATACATATACAAGATGTGATTTAGCCAGTAAAATAGCTTTGAACTGCATACCAATGATAATATAAATGGTAATTAAAAAGGATTTAATTAATAATTTAAATAACAGAAAAAAACGCTTTTGTGAACTGCCAATAATAATTTATAAAATCCGCCGACATTAATTTCCAGTATGTGTGTGACTGTGGGAGACTGGGCACAGATAAAAGAAAGCTCTTATCGTCACGATCTAAATGAGTCACACAGTCAACAAAACAATCAAGATAACTGAGATGTAATGAAATTACATTGATGAATTGTAAGTGTAAACATTTTAAAGCTGCAGATTATTAACACGGGGCTCTTGTATTCAAGTAGGTGGACGACAATAACACTAACGTTACAGATGATCAGCTTCAACAAACACAAGCCACTAGTTACGTTACATAGCAGATCTCTTAGCAAGCTCGATCCATGCGCAAACATCACAAAACAACATCAGAAACACAAAATAACTCGCAAAAATCGACGCAGTGGAAATACCAGGGTAATGTTTGCAATATAACTATTTAATAATCGGCCTGTTTGCAGCAGCTGTGCTAACAGTGCTAACAACGACCATACTTTACTCGCCGCATACACTTCCAGCAATCAAAGTCAAAACGGAGATCGCGTTTACCTTTAGCTGCAATGCAGATTCATGTTTGTGTTCAATTTCCGTAATATCACTCTTTTATTCGAAGTCGTGTTTTCAGCGCTGACAGACTGTCTGCCGCCACCCAGAGAGACTGAAAAGACTGCGCCGTGACGTCACCATAAACAAGTGACGCGCGAGAGCATTGTGGGATACCACGGTCCGCCGAAAGTGAGTACCTGCTGGATTATTTTACGGAACATTTCGTCTTTAGTCAACCTACATAAACAAATACCTTTGGCTTCAGTTACAAGAAGCACGAAAATATCTGTATACAAGCACGTTTTGTAGACAAAATCTGCTACTTTAGACTCACTAGCCATAGCTAACTTTAGCTGCCACAGTCACTTTGAGATTAGAGTGAAAGATAATTAGTAAATTTAGACTAATTATACACAAATGAGTTTACTTTTAGAAATATGTTAGAATTTAACATTACAAGATACTGCACGATACACTAGTATCATATTTAGTGTTCAGAGTGACAATTTATTTGAAAAAATGCAGTTATGGAGCCCCATTGATTTGACTTTGAGCTACTGCATCTTAGGTCTAGACTTTAATTACAATATTTACATATTACATTTATATATTTACAGAAAATTATTTTTTTCTAAAAGAGTTTTTAAAGGATTGTGATGGTAAATATAATTTCAAATAATATCACAAATTAATAATTGAATTATGCAACGAAATTTTGTTATCCATAATCCATAATTTGTTATCCATGGTTTTACTACAATAAAAAATAACTAACCATCATTTTATAATGGTATTTTTAGAATGTGATTATATAAAGTGGTTATACAAGTTATGATCAAATGCACACAAAAAAGGTTGATGAACTTTCATTACAATTAAACCATGGTTCATTTTCAAAAGGTTTGGCAATAAAAAAGATCTCAATTTTATTGCTGTGTAGAAATTGAAGCCAAAGCATACCCGAAATGGCCACTGTCATCATTTATCATTTGTGCAGTTGTGACCACCTAACCTCATGCAGACTGAACTGCCAGTAGCCGACACATTTATCAGTGCATACCTGCCCATAACTCTAAAACACTCACCCACTGCATGGTTATTATTTATCTGGCTGTTTGTTTATTGTTTTGTGAATATATTTAGTCTTTTTTCATGCCTTTGTTGTAATAAAACAGGAATGCAGACACGAAAGCTCAGGCTAATGGGCTGTTTCTTTGTTAGTTTTAAATCAGTTTGGCACACAATAATAAAATTGATGTGATAAGGAATACAAATGTAGTCAGATTGCATTACTTTAAATGTGTAATCTAGATTACATTATGCAATTTCTAAGTAATCTACCCAACACTTGCATCCTCAAGTTGAACCCACCTATCATTAGCTCCCATATATGTTCATATAAATATCCATATTTCATAATTAATGTTAAAGATTGTTTTTGAAAATGACCTTTCATACAGTGGGTAACACAGCTCTAAGTGAAGTGAAATATCCTGCTAAGGCTTAAATCTGAAAGTGCACCATGTTTAAAACTATTGATTCATCTATAAAAGAGTCGGCTCATCTTGGTTCGAATGAACTGCCGCTGTAGCGAGTCTTTTGCCGTGTCGGCGTGACGTCGATATGAAACTCAAGCCCGTACAATTGTAGAATGCGCAGACCCGGGAAAATTGAAACCCCCCGGTCAAGTCCACACATACTTTAGAAAGAAAAAGAAAAAGACAAACACTGTAGCAGATCCCGGTTGAATCAAGTCGCATAGACGCTGTGCTCTAAAGTGTGAGGGAAAGTTAGTGTTATTTTCCCTACCCAAAGATGAGACTGTGAAGAGTCAGTGGTTGAATTTTAGTTGTGCAAAAATACCTCAGCATTAAAGCACCAGCCTTGTGCTGTGTTCCCGTCATTTTTCTGATGAGTGCTTCAGCAATCTACATGCTTACAACACATGATTCATCAGCTGTTTGTTAAAGGAAGGATCAGAAAAGACTATAGACAGGAACCTTTCAGTACACAGTTCATGGATCAGTTTCTTCCTCCATTTCACAAGTGTAAGTTAAGTAAGTGCAGTAGGTTGCCTCCTTGTTATCTCTAGCTTGCAAATTATGTATTTAATTGTGTTTTGTTACTTGTTACCACTTGTACTGAATCTGGTTTACTCTATATTCTAAAACCATGTTGAAAACATGGCACGTGCCCCTTTGTTTATGGATTTGAATGCATTTGTGAGCTTGCGATCCACTCTCCTCCTACACCTACACTCCTATGGGGCTCTATTTTGACGGTCCATGCATAGAACGCAGGGCGCAAACGTTTTCAGGGCGTGTCAGGACGCGTTTTAGCTAATTTAAGGACGGGAAATCTGCCTTGCGCCGTGGCGCATGTTCTAAAAGGGTTGAGTTTATTTTCTTAATGAGTTATAGGTGTGTTTTGAGAATAAACCAATTAGAGTCTCATCTCCCATTCCCTTTAAAAGTCAGCTGCGTCGCGCCAAGAGCGCATTCGCTATTTACAGGACGCAAAGTAAGTCTAAGTGGAAAAAATGAGCATTTCACAAGCAAACAGTTAACAGTTTTTTAACAGAAAACTGTTAAACAGAGCATCTACTGCGTGAGAATGAGAGATAATGAAACTACTTTCACTTTCGCTCTTGGATAGGGAAACCTTTACGCACAGACATTAATTAGTCTATAAATAAACACTTTTGTTTGTTAAGCGCAAATATTCGTTTCAAAACTATTTCTAAATTCAGTTCTAATTTCCAACAAACGAATAAATGAATAATATTAACAAAGTATGCTCAAAAACCTAAGTTATATCCTAAAACACATGACGTGGCCCTTATGGTCTAAAACCTGACAGGTGGGCAAATCTAAGCTTGTTTTTAATAAAACAAATATAAATAAGGAAATAATAAATAATACTGCTAATAATAATAACATTATACAAAAGCAAATTGTTATGAATGAACTGAAAAAGCCTCCCGAGATTAAGAAGACATAAAAGCAGTGGTTTTTCATATTTATGTAGGCTAGAAAATAATATGTTTTGTAATATTTTAATCCTTTATATTTATATCCTATATCTATTCTTATTATATCCTTTATATATCCTTAATATTAACATTTTTTCATATGTAAAGATATTTGCCTATTGCTCTCTTGTGCGTTTTAAGCAGTGCGTAAGCGAGGCGCAACTCTGCGCTGGAGTTTAGACCGGGTTAGTTTTGGTCTAATGAAAAAGCTATTGTAGTTCCTCAAAATAGCGACGCGCCAGTGGTCCGCCTCAGAACGCCTTCTTTTTTAGACCAGAACGCCTATGGGCGCACAAATGAGCGCTAATGCATTTGCTATTTAAACACCGTAGCGCAACGCCTCAAAACAACTCTTGCGTCAAGCTGAAACTACCTAAAGACTATTGCGCCACGCCTTGCGCCACGCTGCGCCGGGTGTATAATAGGGCCCATGGTCACTATTGTGGACGTCTGTAGCTACTTTTCTCCAACATTCTTAAGAATCTCTTGTTTTGTGTTCAGCAGAAGAAAATATTCATGAAAACCAGTTAGAACCACTTGAATGTGAGCAAATATTTGTTTGGGACGAACTAACCTTTTAACTTCTTCATTGCTTTCAATAAAAGTTTGTAATGTTGCAATGTTTCCTGCAATTTTGTGATTTTCTAAATTCCTATAGGCTGTTTTACATCTGAATGTAGTTCTTTAAATGAATCTGATCATTTACTTCACCGTTTACATGGACATATAGGTGCTTAAAGAAAGCAAAATGTCCTTGCCATGATAGGAGTCAAGGAGCCAGTGGCCTGACAGTTTTTTTTGTTCTAAAATAGCTTGTTGATTAATGGCCATGTCATTTTCTATATGGGGAAAAAAGGATAGGGAGTCAGGGGCACTGAAGGGCAGAGAGATAAGCCGTCTGATGGCCCTCAAGTGACTAGCCACAATTCTGCTCCACTCAATATCATAGATTTTTCATGTATAATCAATGCAGTGCAATATTTGTGGGCGTTTATGGCACTGGGGTCAGCGTTGTGTGAAAGCAATTGCAACTCAGGGAAATACATTCTTTGCTTTTTGTCTTCTTTTGTTTGCAGCCACATGGAAAATCAAATGGAGGAAATTTAAAGCACTTTAAAAAATTACTTTACTGTTAAATTATTGAACCAATTGCCATTTTTAATCCACTAATTCCTGAGAAAAAAATAAGAATTTCCCCTTGTTTTTTTTTTATTATTGTTATCTTTTATTTATTTATTTTATTTTTTTAGCTAGCTTAGTTTTTTCGATAGAGGTGTGAACCTAAACTGGTCTCATGGTTCAGATCGGTTACAATTATCATGCTATCGATTGAGTTCACTTTGATATCACGATGCATTAACGATGCTTTCCACACACAATTTTAACAACGCAACAATTTTTGTATTAAAATTTATAAATATGTATTATTTGTAATACAATTTTAATGTAACTTTAATGCAAACAGTCAGATAAATGAACTGTACCTTTAAAAACTCAAGTACATGCGCAGAACGACATGAGCATTCATAGCAAATAAAGAAATGTAAATATCTTGCTTGCTTTTAGAGCATTGTCTATCAAGTTCTTACACACCTACGATTGGTCACGCGTTCAACAGACAGGGCTGGGATTGGCTCTAACGATTTAGCGCTCTTCACTGATAAGTATTTTCATCCACTCTGGGCTGATTTTAAGTCTTAATTTGGCCACAACTTTCTCTGTTTCAGCAAATGGACTAATTTTTGGTGACAAATCTTATTTTGACACATTTTTCTTTGAAAGTTTTCAAAAACTCAACCATACACTCTGGGCAAATTTACTATCCTTTTGTTATGTTTGTGGCTGTTTTTTTCCCCCATTGACTTTCATTAAAGCAACATTTTTTGATTGCAAAGCCATGACTCCATATTATCATGCATTCTTCATTGTTGATGGTTTTTCCTGTTGAGAAGAAATAAAATAAGCAATTTTTACTGTTGATCAACAAGAAGATCAAAAAAAGTACCTCAGCTCTTAGAACATAGTAAACATGGTAAGTGTGATTATGCGTGCATAGTATAATTTGCTGTTTTATACCATAGCACTCCATATAAAGCCAGAAACATTTTTTTTTTTGCAGAGGCCTATCTGAAGGGTTAGTGATGACAACTGATGATCAACAGTAAAAAGAAGAAATTTTACCTCTTCCCAATGGGGAAAGCCACCAACAATCAAGAATGCATGATGTCATGGCTTTGCAATTATAAAATGTCAATACAATGGAAGTCAATGGGGCAAAAACAGCCTCAAACATAATAAAAAGGTAAAAAATTTGAATAGTACTCAAAAGTTAAGAATTATGTAATTTTTTTTGGCCACATTTAGACATCAGTTTACTCTTATAGGCTTGTTTTTGGCTCTGAAATGCTGTGTTGTATCTCATAGTTGACTCTTGTCTCTTTGAATAAAGCATTGATTATGGGGATATTGACATGAGAATTAGGATGCAGGTGAGGTATCAAGTGGCCTATATGCTTCCTCGGCTACGTAGGGGCACAAAAGAACCTCCTGTTGCCCCTCCGTCCAGATCTCCAATCAAACTTGGCTTTATTCGGACCTTCGGTTTAATCTCGGGGAGCTTTAGAAGCTGTCCACAAAAAGCTATTGTATTTTACTTAATTATAACCTCAGAAATGATCTGACCTGGCCGGTGCCAGGTGCAGTGAAGTGTGCAAAAGCTTACATGCCATGAGGTCCCATTGGATAAGGAAAGAAACACTAGATGGCCATCGTGATCGGATAAGTGGAAAATAACCTAACAATGTTAGATCTGAAAAAAAGCTAACTTTGCTAAAGAACTAATGGAAAGTTGTTCCCTCCCATTTTGGTTTCTGAGACTGATGGGTACCCTAAAAAGGGAGCAATATGAGCCCCAGACCTCTTTTTTTCATCATTACTTCCCACACCTCCTCTGTGAGTTTGAGCCCATTTGAAAGGTTACTGTTCAAAGACAACATGGATCTTCCAGGAGGACATCTTGCTGTGGTGCTGTTCCTGTTTGTTCTGGTTTCCATGTCCACTGAAAACAACATTAGTAAGTATTGTGTTTACATGTTCTCAGTTTTATAAATGTTTTATGATATGTGACATGAAACATTTTTCTTTTGCTTTTTGTATTTGAGCCATCTGGGATCTGAATGAATACTGGATGCACATTGCTTGGGTTGCTTCATGTAGTAATTAGTTTTTGAACTAGTAAAAAAGAAGGTAAATATAAAATGACTTTAAATGTTAGTCATTAGTTTGGGAGCATTCATGCTTTTAAAAAAAGTCTCTTATTCTTGTAGGTGGTGCATTTATTTGCTAAAAACGTCAGTAAAAAAATTAATATTCTAAAATAGTGTTTTCAATAAAAATAGATGTTTATTAATTCTATGTAAATATGTTTTAAAATATAAATATTTTTCTCTTGATTTGATTTTGATCTGTTTTTTTTTTTTTGGAATAATTATTGCAGTTTTTGTTAGCACATAACCTTTCAGAAATCATACTAATATGTATATTTGGTGCTCAAGAAACATTTTTGATTATTATTAATGGGAATTATTAAAAGTGCAAATACATTTATAATGTTGCAAATAAAAAATATTCAAATGGTTTCAAAATTCAATCTAATCAATTAATTTTATTTAATTTTATTTTGAATATTTAATTTTGTTTCTAAATACATATGCTTTAAAGATGCTTACATATATACAGTTGAAGTCAGAATTATTATCCCCGCTTATTATTTTCCCCTTATTTCTTTTTAACGGAGAGACGTGTTTTTCAACACATTTCTAAACATAATAGTTTAATAACAATTTTTTAATAACTGATTTATTTCATTTTTGCCATGATGACAGTAAATAATATTTGACTAGATATTTTTCAAGACACTTCTATTCAGCTTAAAGTGACATTTAAAGGCTTAACTAGGTTAATTAGGTTAACTAGGCAGGTTAGGGTAATTAGGCAAGTTATTGTATAATGATGGTTTGTTCTGTAGAAAATGGAAAATAATTTGATAACTTGAACCAGAAAATATTTTTATTTTTAATTAAAAACTACTTTTTTTCTAGCTGAAATAAAACAAATAAGTCTTTCTCCAGAAGAAAAAATATTATCAGACATTCTGTGTAAATTCCCTTGCTCTTTTTAAGATCATTTGAGAAATATTTAAAAAAGAAAAAAATACAAATTGGGTTTAATAATTCTGATTTCAACTGTGTGTGTATATATAAATATATAATTAAAATTAATAAATATAATCAAATACAAATGTAATAATTTTTTATTTGTTATTATTATTTTTTTTTTTAAATGTATACAGTTTTGTGGTCCCTACTTTCCCATACTTTTTCCAAAAAGCTTCACTTTTATAAAACATTTTGTAAAATATTAGTGTGTTATGAGTTACTTTTGGCTGGTAGCTTTGCAGTGAACATGCATATCTTGAATAACAGTTGATACTTGCCATTCTTTGAAAAATATACAAAGTGTTTCCTTTTTGCAGTCAGGTGGTGCACAGTGTCTGATGCTGAAGATCAGAAGTGTTTGGATTTAGCTGGAAATGCCACAGCCAGGAACCTTCGCGGACAACTAGTGTGTGTGAGGGGCCAAAGTCCCACCGACTGCATGAAGCAAATTAAGGTTGTAAAAAATGTACTTACCAAGAAGCATATTTAAAGGTGTAGTTCACCCAAACCTAAAAATTCAGCTATTTACTCATCATTTACTTATCACAAACTTGTTTTAGTTTCTTTTCATTCATTAAACACAAAAAAAAAAAAACATTTTGAAAAATACTAAAAAAACTCTAACCATTGACTTTTTATAGTATTTGTTTTCCACTATGTAATTTAGTGGTTACAGGTTTTTCAAAGTAACTTATTTTGAACAAAAAAAACCCCACTTGTAAATATTAAGTATATTTAGATTTTTGGGTGAACTGTCTCTTTAATTAGATTAAAATCATTGTAATATTGCAAGGCTTTCTGATTTAAAATAACACTATTGTACTAATTTTTGCTCCTCCTTTTTGATTTTCTTGCACTCAATAAAATTCTCAACTGGTTAAATGGCAAAAAATGGCACAGAATGGCACTGCAGATGCCTCTACTATGTATGCCGATGAAATCTACACAGCTGGATTTTGCTATGGCTTAGATGTGGCGGTTGGAGAATCTTATAACGGTGTGGGTGAGTATGTTCGAACATTCAAAACAATGACTAAAGATGTTTTAGACTGGAATAAAAGAGCCTGACGTCAGCATGTGTTTATGTGTCTGCCGCAGACGGCATTAATTATTATGTAGTTGCTCTGGCACGGACGTCATCCAGTGATCTGTCACTGCTGGAGATGCACGAGCGCAGCTCTTGTCACCCAGGGATGAGGACTACAGTGGGCTGGACCGTCCCCATCGGCTTCCTGGTCAACACATCACAGATTAGTGTGGATGTGCAATGCAACTTTCCCCACGGTGAGATGCTGTTTTGTCTGAATTTTACTTTCATTTAATTTTAGCATTTATTTCTGATGAATTTTACATTACTTTGTTCCATTTTCCATTTTATTTTCCATTTGAAGTATTCTGAGCTCCTTTTTAATGTTTTTAATGCTTCATGTTAATGCTTTTTTTATTTTAATTAAAACAATTTGCAATTTAACATTTTATATATGTGTAAAACATTTCTATACATAACGTTTAATATACAATTATTCTGTTGTACAGTTTATAGAATTGCAATTTTAAGAGCTCTATATTTTATTTCCATTTTTTACATCTGGTTTAACTAAGCCTGAGTTGCAGATGCACAAAATGAATGCTCTTAAATATAATACTTACAGCACAGGGGCCAAACTCTTTTGTTTCTGGAGGGCCACAGCTCTGTACAGTTTAGTTCCAACCATACTAATTAATCCAAACCAAACTAATTAAGTCCTTCAGGCTTGTTTGAATCCTACAGGTAAGTTTGTTGGAGCAGGGTTGGAACTAAACTGTGCGGTTTGACTGTGAGTTTGACACCCCTGATTAACTGTGTTTCACCTGGTTAAAATGCAAATCAAGATTGAATCATAGTAATATGCTAATTTGGTGCTCAAGAACTGTTTCTGAATAATAATGATCGAGATGATTGGATATAAAGATTAAAATATACTAACATACTTTTATTCTAATCATGTTTTTAGTTTTTTATTTAATTTTACACTTTTGCTAATATATTTATTTATTATAGCTAATATTTACCTCTTAATATATAATACTATTTGATTATTTATTTTTTTAAAGTTAATTTATTTTTTGGTATTTTTTGCATTGTGTAGGCTGTGGTTCTTATACTTTTCAAGTAGCTTTACTTTAATTATACAGTGTATAAAACATTAGTGTAAGCTACCTTTGGCTGGTGCTTTGCAACAAACATACATATCTTGAAATACAGTTGAGTTTTATAAACAAAACATACTGTATGTCTAAATTTAAAGCTTGGATTTTTTTTTTACAATTAATCTTAATTTATAATTATTATTGATGTATGTAGTTTTAAAACTTTTACAATTGCAATTTTAGGAACTATCATTTTATAACTTTCCATTTTACTCCTGTTGAAATTAAAACAAAGGTGAAAAATATGATTCCTCCAAGTGTTCCCATGTTATATTACCATAATTTATTTACATTCCTTTTTTGGCTTGTATCTTAAAGGTATTGTCATTAGATAGAACAGCTGTTGTTTTACAAAAGCACCTAACATCTGGTTTAACGTCTGGTGAGCTGCATATGCACACAAAGTAATGCTCTCAGATATAATATTTGCAGTGCTTACACCTGGCTGAAATGCAAATCGAGATTGTAATTGCAACTTTTGGAAGCCGCTTAAATAGTCATCTGCTTCTCCTTGTGATTCATAGCGGTCGGAGATTTCTTTGGCTACAGCTGCGTCCCTGGCGTGAAGGACCCAGAACACGATCCCAAAGGAAACAACCCAAGGAACCTGTGTGAGGCCTGCATCGGGGACGAGAATGACCGCCACATTTGTGCCAACAACCCTCGAGAACGGCACTTTGGAGAGGCTGGAGCTCTGAGGTGCAGTAAAGATGTGAAATAATGCATGTTTCCTAGTGGAATCATTATTTAAAATAGGATTTTTGTGTGTGGCCAAGAATATTGAAATGCTTGATGGGCTTGTTAATCTAAATGTTGATGTGTATATGAAACTTTTGAAATTAATTAAAATACCATTTTCTCTGGATTTGCTATTAATATGTACATGTTTTGAGTAAAATGCTTAGTTGTGGCTAATTATTGTTACTTCAAAATAAGATGATTATCATTTAGGGCAATGGTCTCAAACTCAACTCCTGGAGGGCCACAGCTCAGTTCCCACCACCCCATCACACCTGCTTAATAGTCTCTAGTAGTCTTGAACACCTTGATTAGTTGGATCAGCTGTGTTTGATTAGGGTTGAAGCAAAAATGTGCAGAGCTGCGGCCCTCCTGGAATCCAGTTTGAGACCTATGATTTAGGGCATTTAAAATTAATTATATTAAATAAAGTAAATTAAATAACCCATGTTCTTCTTAGATATTGTGGAAATATGTCTTACATTATTTAAGGTCAAGGAAATATTTATATTGACCTATTAATCAGACATGTTTACTGCAATGAATGCTCAAAATTATAATATTCTTATATGAAATGTTGAAGACATAAACACAAACATATCATTTACTTAAAACATAGCTATTAAACTCAAATGCAGAGCACAGAAATTCACTTTAAAGGGATTTCTTTCTTTCAAATGTATAAATTTCGGCTCAAATCTTTAAACATATTCTCTGAGAGAAAATAATAATAATAATAATAAATAAAAATAGTAATAGTTTAAAAAACAGTAATTGAGCAAGTTTACAATAAAAAAGTAAAAAAGGGAAATAAAATAAAATGTTTTTGAAAAGTTCGCGTTGAGTCAATATTACCTCTTACCAATTATTTTTGTTTTCTGATTTTAGCAATAAAAATAGATCATCAAACGTATTTTAATATTAATTACATTTCAAAGATCACATAATCCTTCAGAAAGCATTGTAATTTTTGACAGCAGTTTGGCTGCATAATGAACATAGCCTTATTAAAAGAATTCTGTAATATAATTGTCATTACCAGGGGCGGACTGGCCATCTGGCAATTCTGGCAAATGCCAGAAGGGCCGGACCAATTTTTAAATGTGGGCCGGTCAGTTTTTTTTTTTTTTTTTTTGGTATGTATTGTTTTTAAGTGCAGACAGCTTTTATCTCTTGCTAGATGTGATATTATGATGATGATAATAAAAATAATAATAATAAATGTTTATCATTTGGCCCAATCGGCAACTGCCACCTGGTTTCAAGATGGGCCGACCCAATCCAAGGTTACCCGGACATAATCAAAATCTGGCAAGAATGTCATATTATTTCACCATCTTTACACCAAAATAAATAGTTAATGTGCGTGTCCGTGGGTGGGGCTGTGTCGGTGTGGTAATGTGGGCTGGTGTGGCAACAGTGCCAGGGCTGAATTTTTGTCCCAGTCCGCCCCTGGTCATTACTGTCCTTTATGCTCCATTTCTTGTATCTTTGAAAAACAAAATATGTAAAAACAGTGCTTATATTTTATAAGTATGATTTATATGCATTATTATTTTTAAAATGCAGGTGTGTGGCAGAGAATCTTGGCGATGTTGCTTTTGTTAAGCACACTACAGTCTTTGACAACATGCAGGGTAAGTAGTGCAGGCTATAAGAACATGAGAGGTCAAAAACGTCCCGATGCAGTAAGATTTTTCAAGTTGGTTTCTTATTAAATGGAATTTTTAAGGGACTGAAGGAGGACAATTGTAGCCTTCACTTGATGATCTGGATCATGTTTCACTGGCTGACAGACACAGGAGGGCAGTATTTCACAACAATGCGTCTCTTTGTGTGCCTGCTGGGATCTGTGAAACCCTTGTATTTAGAATCAGTAAACCCCGTTAGCCAAGTTCAGGGATTATAGATTCTAGTTTTATAGAGATATAGATTTGTTTACCAAAGCCTGCACAACTTTCAAGCTTTTAAACTTTACAAAAAGAATGCAAATGTTACATATCACGCCGAAATTTTCACTGCATGCAAACAACCTTTTTTATTGATGTAAGGTAAGAACCAGGAGTCTTGGGCGCTGGACTTGGAGCTGGAAGACTTGAAGCTCTTGTGTCCTGACGGGAGTGAAGCGAACCTGTTCCAGCATGAGAGCTGCCACCTGGCTGTAGTGCCAACCAATGCCGTGGTAGTGCGTTTGGAGGACAAATGCCGCGTTTACAAGTTCTTGGAACGTGTGCAGGTCAGGAGAGACAGCCACACAGTCACACATTACAGTCCAAAAAATCTGAGAACACTTAGAAAATACTGGGCTCTTTTACACTTACACCTACTATAGAAAAGAAGTAGGCCTGTTTTTAGTGGTATTCCACAGTTTTCCTTAACATTTTCCCCTGTTTATTTAGGATTTTGAATATAAATGGGACCTTGATCTTTCTTCCAACAACTTTAAATCTTGAAATGTTGGAAAAGGTGACTTTTATTAACATATTTAAATGTGTAAAGTGATATATTATCTGGGTCTTAGTTGTATATTAAGGTACAAAAACCTTTTAATAAACTGCAAGTACATTTCCTATTTGAAACTACTAAAATATAAAAAAAAGTCACTTTGTTAAACTGTAGAGTTGAATTTTCAACATCAAAAGTCGACAGAGTTGGGATCAACATGACATAATAAAAACGGAAAACACAGACAATCACAAAATATGGAAACTATGGGGAAAAAAAAAAAAAAAAAAAAAAAAAATATATATATATATATATATATATATATATATATATATATATATATATATATATATAAAATTTATATTTATATATATTTTCTATATATATATATATATAAACCCAAAAATGCTTAAAACCAAATATGAAAGTTCTGCCATTATTCACTCAACCCTTTATTCGTTCAAAGCTTTTTGAGTTTCTTTCTTCTGTAAAACACAAAAGAAGATATTTCTGAAAAATGCTTGTGACTTCCTCTGTAATTTTTTTCATGCTGTGGAGGTCGATGGGTCCAAGCAACCAGCATTTTTAAAACATATTTTGTTTTGTGTTCAACAGAAGAAAGGAACTTATAAAAGCTTAAAACCACATGAGGGAGAATAAATGATGATTTAATTTACATTTTTGGGTGAACTAACCATTTAATATAGTGCATCATCAGTTGCCCATATTGGAGTGCAGAGCATAAACAATGCCACTTAACCAAAGGAAATTCTTATTTTGTGCAGATTACTGCATTTAAAATTGATCACTCATTGTCATTTTTTGAAAAATACTAATTGTTCGAACTGGTAAAAAACATTTTCAGTACTACAGACCAAAAGCTATAACAAATCAAGCAGAAGAGAGCCTATTAAATTTATTGGTCAAAAGATAACAGCTTTTCCTGTTTACATAGTCCCTCTCTATATGATTTAGCAGCTTACACGAGGTTTTCTATAGTTTACTTACTCCCAGGGCTGTTTATATTAAAGTTGTTATTTGGCCACACCGTGTTGGTCTTTTATAACACACAGAAATGCCAACTGACCCAGCCAGGTCTTGAACCAGCCCGTTTTTCCATGGTTTAGACAGCAAAAAAACCAGAACAACTTATTTAGTTGTAAATTGTCATTTAATCCATGCTGTTTTTTTTTTTTTTTTTTTTTTTTTTTTACATCTGAGCAACTCCGTAATGGCCGTGTATATGTGCATAACTGACTAAATTGCGATATAAGTTAAGAAACACTCCATTATGCTACTTTATTTCATTGTGTCTTATAGTGACTATAAGTAACTACAGATAAGGTACTTATTCTACTAACCAAAAAACACACTAATAATACCTTACTAATTCTGTTGTGAAAGAAATTATTTTTTGGATTAGTTTACAAAGAGGCAAAGTAAATAATACCCAGAGAGTTAGGTGAAAGTTGCAGTCTTAGTCATACACTTTGGAAAACGTAGCACTATTTAATGTGAATTGAAGTAATACTAAAATGAGAGTTAATTGACATAGTACCAACACTGTAAGGGCATCTAGCATGCTGGTTAGCGTGATTTCACTAAGTAGGACATGTTCTTGCATCAACATCTATGTTGATCCTGAAACAACATTCCAGACAGCCAATCAGAATTAAGGGATACATACAGCTTCTGTTAAGTTTAGGCTTACGGTTAGGGTTATGTGATGTTTTAAACATGATTGTTATCTAACTGTTATTCCCCTCTGATTTTGGGAATAATTTACTGTTGTTGTTGGGTTTAGGGGTAGGGAATAGGTATGGATTACATTTTCGAGCAAAAATGACATTCCAGAATCAACGTAAATGTTAATGCAGGATGGCATTATACTAGGCAAAATCACATCTCTCTAGCACACTAGACATGGTATAAATGCAAAGATACTAATTTGTTAGTCTAGGTGTTACTGCACGATATTGGAAAAACCTGATATTGCGATGTTTTATTTTTCTGTGATAAATATTACCGTATGAATTTCATAAGATGGCCAGCTTTATTTACCATGACGTTATTTAGGTACAGTAATAACAATGCAAAAAAATATATTCTTACTTTGCATTGTGTTATACTGCATTGTCTCGTTTCTTGTCCAATTATTGATAAATTCTTAGATCAAGTAAAAATATTTTTATGCAAAATTGTATTTTTTATAAATATTGTATTCTTCTATAGAAGAAATAACTCAAAACTAGGAGTTTTTCATTAAAACAAGCCAAATGATCTGCCATTATGATACATAAAATAATCTTGTTTTTGCTTTAAATGTAAATATATCAAACTTTTTTGTTTTTGCATAAATTGTATACATTTTGTATAAATAATTAAATACAATTAATCATTATTAAACCTCCAAACATCATAATTTTTTATGACCAAATGTTTTAAACTTTTGAAATGCTCAGTCACAGGCCTCAAAAACACATGCATATGCTAAACCTTTACTCTATTATTGTTAAACTGCAGTGACTCTACAAATCACGTGATCTGTAGCTCCTTGTCAACTATAATTCAACATTACAGATCTTGCGATGCGACTATTGTAGGTGCGCACATAGCAATACTTTAGCCCTACTTTAGTAAGATTTAGTTGGCAGTCAAAAGTAACTAACACTGAGACGGTTGATGTTTTTGAAAAGTTTCAAATTCTATAAAAAGAGCTAGTTGATGTTGCAGTGTTATGTTACACTTGAGATTAGTTGATGTAACTGACATGTTACACACACAAAAAATATTACTGCTGCTTTTTCAAACTACCATTTTAAAATGAGCTGAAACGACACAATTCTTGTCATTTCTTTAGGATATTTGCATGTTTTATGTTCAGTTCACTTAAATTTGTAAACCATTAAATTAACTTAAGCGTTTTGTGTTGAGACAACATGAAGGAATTGTGCTGGTCCAACTACCTGGTTAGGGGATTTGTAGTTCCCAGCTTGCTTTTTTTTTGGGATTGAATTAAGAGGGGGAAATGTTGACAATAAAAGTAATCTTAGGTGTTTAAAGTTAAAGACTTGTTAGAGTTTAATCTTCAGGATTTAGAAAATTTGTATGTAATGCTTTGAGTTTAGAGATTACCACCTTGCAGAAGCACCTATGCTTTAGGTGTTGGCAGCTGAATTAGAAAAAATGCAGTGTGTTGCTTTGCTCAGTGAGCAATAATGGTCCTAAAATAAGTTTTTAGGATAATCTTAGGATAACTTCAAATAAAAGTAAGAGATTTCGAAATGTACAACACATAATAGACATACATGAAATTATGAGACCTTTGAGTTTAAGTTAAATAAAAGTACAAAAGTATTTAAACTTTTATTTAATAAAATTACGTTGAACCAACTCAATTGCATATAATTGCGTAAATAGTTTTTTTTTAGTTGGTGCTAAACAAATTTATTGGATGGAAATCCTGCCCCCAATTAAATTGAGTTCATCCAATGATTTTTTTTCTAGTGTACTAATACTATAAGTTAGTTGACATGGTAGCAATAACACTGATAGGAATTAGATAACATGCAGTTGCTAACTTATACTAGTCTAATTACATTTGACAGACTGTCTAAAAGGTACCAACAAAACCAGTATAAATAACATTATTTCTAGGTTAATATATATTTATTTCAAATTCAGATTTTAAATAAAATGTATTTGTTTTTGGGCCAGTAAGCACACATTAAATTTCCGCATTAAAAAATATAAATACATACATTGTTACAAACTATTTCTATTTCAAATAAATAATGCTGCGCCTTTGAACTTATATCAAATAATCTAAATTCAACACAAAATATGGAAATTGAAGGATATACATAATGTTTTCTCAGTCTTCTTAGACTTTTGGACTGTATAGCACTACACACACACACACACACACACACAGAAATGCCACGGATTACATAATGACATTTATAGTGCCGGGCGGTCACACAGTCTCAGGATATCAGGTTTGATTCATTTTTTTATTGCATTATCCGTGAAATAATATAAAAGGAGTAAAAGGTTAAAAAAGAGAAATCCCTTTTGTAGAATGCAGAGCATGAAATCCTCATTGGAAGTGTTGTTCCTGCACATTAGCGGCCAACGCTATGATTAAACGAACCCTGGCTAAACCTATATTAACAATGGTATCTCTGAACATCTCGGGTATTACACAGATTACATCGGGCTGACTTATGCGTTCAATACATCCAGCCTGAGCCCTGTGGTGATCATTGATTTTCACAAGACACCGTCTTACATTACAGTGTGTCATTAAGGGAGGATGACACTACAGAGAAGAACTAGCACACATACCGAACAAAGCACAGTGCAAGATGTGAGCAAAGAGTGTAGAGAAGCTCCAGTATTTGCAAATGAAACAAAATATGCATATTTATATGTCAAACTTACACCCACTCTCTCTTTTGTTTGCTTTTCTACAAGGATTTGAGAAATTCTGCTTGATTGCACTTTCTCTTTTTCTTATTTTGCTTGTTCTCGTTTCTCTAGAACGCATTTGGTAACACCACTGAAGGATTTTCTCTGTTCAGCTCAGTGAATTATGGGCAGCCTGATGTGCTGTTCAGCGATTCCACCAAAAAGTTGCTCCGCGTCATGGGGACCTACACTTCCTGGCTGGGACCCAGTTATACCACCATACTGAGGGCTTTTGAGTGTGAAGGTAAAGTGGAGGGAGCATGGCTGTAATTGCATGTATTATATTTATCTTTCAATTGTGGAATCAAGGGATAGTTCACTTAAAAAAAAAGATATGCTGTTAATTTATTCATCTTCCAAAATGGGGTGAAATTTACCCCTTCAGTATATTTGATTATTAGCTGAAACCGTGGTCTTTTTTACATTGAAAAAATGCAAGTTGATGGCTACCATCACTTTCAGGGGCCATTTACACATTGTTTTTATCCAAAACACAGTTTTTGTGTGTGTGTTTTGCCTATTAGTGTACATGACAGAAGTATTTTAGGAATCGTAAACACTTTTTTTACACACCATGTCCACACTAATACGTTTTTCAGGCTTTTGTTCACACTGAGACAGCGTTTTAAGGTCATAAAAACATATCTTTTTGAAAACGCTGTCTAAAGTGGATAAATTTGAAAACCCTGTTTTTAAGTTGCAGAATGAACTGTGAAACTGGAGGCTTTCAAAAACTATGAAGCATTTTAGTCATGTGACAACATTGTAAAGCAGATGTTTTAAAATCTGTCCATTTTGACAGCTTTATAAAAGATTAATGTCAGTTTGTACATGCTTTATATTGCCTCTCTTCAATGGACAGGGAATGTTTACTTAACTCTTTGAGCTCATCCATACTGTAAGGGTAAGCGTCATCGTCAGCAGGGTACTGATCTTTGAAGCAGTCCGATATTTCAGCGCATTTGTTTTGGCACATCTTGCAATCGACATTCCTTTGCAACTTTATGTTCTTGCTCTCAACAACAACTCCATTTCAGTGTCAGTTCATTTAAAGAAATCTGTGATTTTCTTTGACAGTTTAGTGCGACATTTCAAAGAAACAGAAAGTAAATGAAGAGAAGGCGGATATGAGGTTAAAGCGTCCTACTGTGTGCATGCGGAGTACATGAATTTTTCCTGGATTAGTGTAGACGTAGCCTCAGTCTTTAGAACGCCTCTCTTGTCAAATTTTTGAATCTTTAAAAACAGTGAGATCATGCGTGTGTATAGTACGTGTTAGGGATGTGTCGATCTGTTGTTGTTGCTATAGTGTTTGCAAACTCTTTGTTAGTAAAGTGTGGATTTTTAACAGCAATGAAACATCATACACACACAACAAATTATAAATAAACATCAGCGGCACTATGCTGCTACAGTTATGTCGTCACTTTTTTTTTACAGGTTTTGTTTATTAACAAGGTGAAATCACCAATCTTAACCTATGCCCTGTATCATGAAGCTGGATTAGCTGGCTAGCCAGTTAAGTTTCAGTTTAGTTTGCACTAATCTTGCGTTTTGGGCAACATGATGGCAGCTCAACTTTAATCACTATTTATTGCCATGGTATTATAGAGCAGCTGAGCTGAGCTACTTTCATGATACCTAAATCCCAGAATTTGTGAAAACTTAACTGGCTAGCCAGCTTATCTGGCTTTATGTTCTTGGACCCCAGACTATATAATTCATATTTTTTTGCACATTTTATCGATATGTGTAAACACAGATGGTTTCGAAAACGTTGATGTGTGAATATGAAAACTAAAAGAAATACAAGGGGAAAACATTTCTGTTTTTAATTCCATCATTGTAGTGTAAACATAGCCTCAGATTCAGAAAAAACAAAACAAAAACGTGTAGTTTCAAAACAAACCTATTGTCTTTGGCTACTAAGGATACATCGAAGTATTATGAAGTTAAGGAATTGCAAGAGACAGAATAACTTTAGGTAACACTTTATTTTGATGGTCCATTTGAGTATTAATAGACTGTCTCTTTCAACAGACATTTAACGGACTATAAGAAACAAGTAAATGTCAACTTACACTAACCCTAACCTCAACCCCAACCTAACAGTCAACTTATAATCTAAAGAGAATTAGTTGGCATGTTGATGCAATCTAACTAAATTCAACAAATGGACCATCAAATTAAAGTGTGACCCATTCTTACATCATTATTGCCATCATTACCCCACCCATTATGTGGGAACATTTTGAAGCACATATTTGTAGTATAAATATGGATGTATTGAAAACACTGAAAAAAAATAATACTAAAAAAAAAGATTGGATGTTTTTACAATACATACTTCAATTAATTAAATACTAAAAGTTATTGCAAGCAAGTTATCATTTTAAAAAGTTTTTTTTTTTTGTTTCCCTAATATTTCCAACCAATATTATTATAAAAATGTCTTCTCTCTGTCTCCTATTCATTACAGGTTTGTGTTGATCTGATGAGGAAAGGGGAAACTATAGACCTGGCCTCCATCGCTCTCACACAGACCCTAAAGCACTCTGTGTGCAGTGTGTTACTCTCGTATATGGGCTGAACACCACCTCTCGCCTGTGCTTTATAGTACTGCTATTACTCTTCTGTTTTCACAGTCTTTGTATGGCTTCATATATCTCATTTACTTCACTTCTCTGGTCTCTGCCGCTAAAGCCAAGTTCCTGTCATGTAAAAAAAAATACAAAATAAATGCAAAAAGATGGAAACTTCTATGCAGAAAAGCACTGCAGGGGAACACACCACAAACCATGAAAGGATTCTGCCTTGACTTTGTTGCCAATTCATTACAGTTCATTCAAGGGATGTAAATGTTTCTGGGCACAAACAGCAGTTCTTGTTTTGACCTGCTTTAAGGCACAAAGCATACTTTATACAAGTACATGAACGCAAATGCTTTTTACAGTTAAAATAGATTTATTTTGTGTTATTTGTCGTAGACTATTATAAGTATGTCAGACAAAAACTGTGTTGTTTTTTCAACACATAGCTGAAAATAGCATATTTTACAGATAGTTTGTTCTTTCAAATCATTTATTATTGTACATAATTCATTTCTGCCACATGATTAAAAATAAAAAAGAGGTCATGCTAACATTTTATAGTACTACTGACTGAGTGTATTTCTCACAATTCAGATTCATTTTTAGCTAAATAAAAACAAAAGTCTTAATTGCAAAATGTTAATTGAACACTTTAAGAAAAAAGGTCAGGATTTCACAACTTCTTTTAATTTATTCCAATTTCATACACTGTAAAACCCAAAAAGTTAAGGTAACTCAAACCATTTTAGGAAACCGATTGCAACAAATCATTTAAGTTCAAAAATGAATCCTAATGTGTACTGTGAACTTAATCCATTTGAGTAAACGAAGCAATTTGAGCACAGTAAAACCAAATAAATGAAGAGAACACAAACCAACTGAGTACTGTAAAACTCAATAAGTTAAGGTAACTCAAACCATTTGAGGAAACCGATTGCAGCTAACCATTTGAGCTAAAACTAATCTATACGAGTATTGTAAACGTACTCCATGCAAGATAAAATAACTCATTACCTTCAACAGTGAGTTCAAATCTCTATTCAAATGAGTAGAATTAACTTTGTCAATTTTGAGTCAACTACACTCATTTCTTTTGATAAAGTTGACTGTTGGGTTTTACAGTGTATGTTTAAATTCTGAGTTTGAATCAGGCTTTTTAACCCAGGACTTCTGAATTTGTATTTTATAATTTTCATACTTGCTGTTGCAAGCTTTCTTGCAACTTTATCTTTATTTCCATTGAATATATTCCATTTAGTTATTAAAAAAAAACAAAAAAACTTGGGATTGGCTCAAGCTTTTTATAGTAATGTATTAGGTCATGATTCTTAAAAATGGATCAGAAATGTGAAACAGAATTCAGACTTTTAATGTGAAATAAAAAGCAGATTTTATGTCAAAAGTTCTGAATTTAACCCTTGTGCACTGTTTAAATTTACTACCCTTTCGTTATGTCCGGGATGAAAACATCCACTAAATTAAACAGCTGTAAAAATTCATCATTTTATTTACAATTTATTATAAATAAAATTATTATTATAATATTATTATATTATAATTTTATTATTACATTTTATATATATATATATATATATAAATTTTTTTTTGCATTATTCTGTTAATCAAGCAAAACTGCTAAATGTTTTTTAAAATTACAGGATTTAACTTTTTAATTAATTAAGTTCACAAGTTATTTCATTGATTTAGTTAAAGGAACACACAAAATGATATTTTCAATATAAAAACTAGTTGTGGACTGGATTTTTCCCCCCTTTTATCACAGTCTTGGATATGTGAATGATTAGTAACAACAATGCCTTTTATGCATTGTTAGATTTTTGTTTTAGATTTTTAGACTAATTTACTGTTGGTAACTGTATTTGCCCCATTGACTTCCATTATAACCAAATGTTTTTGATTACAAAACCATGACACCATATGATCATGCATTTTTTAATTGTTGGTGGTTTTCCCTGTTGGGATGAGGTAAAATTTGTCATTTTTATTGTTGATCATCAGTTGGCACCATTAACCCTTTAGATAGACCTGTGCAAAAAAAAAAAAAGCGTAGTTTCTGGATTTTATATGGCGTATAATAGCAAATTAAAGTGTGTATTTGTGTCTGTAAGTGTGTGAGAATGTGATAGTGACCTTGGCGCACTTACCTTGATGCATCTGAGAAAATTGAAATTTGTTTCTCAGCTCTCAGAACTACATGGAGTAAATAAAAACAAAGACAATGTTTTGTGCACAATTAACATATTTATGCAAAATTACATTTATCTGATGCATTTTTTACAGCAGGTTAATTTAGTGGATATTTTCATCCTGAACATAATGAAAGGGTAGTAAATTTGCCTGAGTGTGTTATTGAGTTTTTAAAAAATCTCCTAAAATTTGTGTCAAAATTAAGATTTGTGACCAAAATTCCTTCTGCTAGCTGAAAGAGAGAACAAGTTGTGGCCAAATTAAGACTCAAAATCACCTCCGAATGGATGAAAACATCCCCAACAGCACATAAGGGTTAAAATATTGCACTTCTGTATTTTCTTTTCTCAGAATCACAACTTCATTCGTCTCAGCTGCTTGCTTTCTTGCAATTCTGACCCCTTTTCTCAAAACATTAATCACAATTTTGAGGGGAAAAAGTTTTGAGCTTCTATCTTGTAATTTACACACTTAAATCTCACAGTTTTCTGTTGCAACATTAGAAAAAAAATTGTCAGTGTATTAATACATTCACATCTGAGTTTGCGTACTTGTGCATAGCATGTTTTTGACTAAAGCTTGATAAACGTTTAAACGGGAGGATACAATTAACTCAATAACACACACGAATAATCAAAGTAACAAAGCAATAAAAATTTAAAGGCAGACAGACTTATGATTGTTACATAACAGGTGCTTTAAAGGTGCTGTTTCCTGACCGTTCAGGATAACAAATACCAACTTGAACTACTATGTAAATAGTGACATCCTTTTTAGATTTATAGACCCTTCTCTTACTAATAAAAATCAATGTTGACAAACATTTGCAATCCTCTTTTATTTGATTCAGCTAGATGCGTATACACTAGTGTGTGAATGCTAATGTATTATTAATGACAATAACGCCTCGTATGAATTCATAATGAGCCGTCTATGACATCCTGACATCACTAATGAACATAGATAATGTTAATTGCTGGTTAATTGAGGATTTTGTGCCATGTGTCCTTGAAAGTGTTCATTAGAAAAGTGTTTTTTTTTTTCTAACGTTATTGCCTGCATTTTCAGTGGGTGTCTTATCATTTATTTATGCTAAATCCAAGTTGAAGTATCCTTCTCTCTCATTTTCTCCAGCAATACAGAGCCTTCGATTTAGTCATTAGTACATCCGTAAAAACGTCCAGGTGGAAAACTGACGTGAGCTGTTTTCTTTCGTCACGCATAAGAAAACAATTATAGAGCGATGAAACTATTCAGAGGGAAAGTGTTTGTATGCTTCAGAATAGGAAGTTGGTACCAGATGGCTCCAACACTGAGTGTCTGTTTATAAACACAGGCTTCATTAATCTGGATGTAGACGGCGAGATGAACCAGTCTACACTGCTGGGACTGCAGCGTGTGTCATTAACACAGACACAAGTTAATGAAGTCTGAAGCCCTTTAATCCGTTTCTGTGCTGCTTTCTGCAAGTGTACGTCCTCTATACATCACCACAGACTTTCAATACTTGTGTCAGAACTTTGCTTACTGTCAATGACTCGATGAAGCCTAAAGCAGTGTTTTCTGAAGGCACAACAACATGCACATATTCATACTCGCCCTAATCAGAAACGGCTGAATCAACTCATTACAACATTAGAGGAGACTCTTAAACCTGAAATGAATGGTCAGATGAGGAAGACATTTAAAATATATACTGTTGGTGTGCCTCCAAGAACAAGGCTGGGAAATCTTGGCCTAAATGGGCATTTAATAATAATAATAATTGTTTATACTTATATAGCACCTTTAAAACTTAATTCTTTGCACAAAAAAGACATAAATACAAAACAGTTTAGAAATACAGTAAAATTGAATCATTCAGGCTAAATCATTCACAACTGCTAAAACATTTACACTGACATAACTCCTATTTTTAAAGGGAGTTGCTTATTTTTCCCTATAGATATTTACATTAGATGATGCCTATGCTATTGTTGCCTATTGGATGGAACGCGGCAATAGAGCTGCCATTTTTGTACAGGGTAGCACTCCTTTGAAATGAATGTGGGATCAAGGTGCAGAGGACTGTCCATCCAGAGCCAGAGATATATATACATACATAGATAAACTGTAAAAAAATGTGTAGTTTTACGGTTTATTTCCAGCAGCTGGGTTGCCGGGAAAAAAAACGTAAAAATAACAGCCGTTAAATTACAGAAATTTACCATAAAATAACGGACAAAAAAAATGACAGAAATTTCCTCCAATTTAAATTTCTGGTAAATTTCTGTAATTCAACCTCTGTTATTTTACAGTAAATTTCTGTAATTTAGCAGCTGTTATAACAGCCCCAGCTGCCGAAAATAACAGCCGTTAAATTACAGAAATTTACCATAAAATAACGGACAAAAAAAATGACAGAAATTTCCTCCAATTTAAATTTCTGGTAAATTTCTGTAATTCAACCTCTGTTATTTTACAGTAAATTTCTGTAATTTAGCAGCTGTTATAACAGCCCCAGCTGCCGAAAATAAACCGTAAAATTACAGATTTTTTTTACAGTGTATGTCTATGATCGGCGGTTCCCCCGGTGGCCAGTGTGCAAATATTTTTTTAAATTATAAAAATGATCATTTTACATCACTTTTCTACATTGATGGATAAGTGACTGTGTGGCCATATTTGACAGATAGAGTGTGTTTGTGTGCATGGAAACGTATTATCCTCCCTCCCTGTTAAATT